CAAACTAGGAACCCTGAAAACAAGTTAAAAAAGCAAATAAAAACAAATTAGAAACTGAACACAAGGCAATTATCTCCAGGCTGCATATCAAAAAACCACATGCGTCTTTTGATTCAGTAATCTCAGCTGGAGAAATTACAATGAAATGAAATAAGAGATCAAACAGGGAGAATTCAATCTTTCAATTATTTACACTATTGAGAAAAACAGGTTTGTGCCATATTTACAGCAATAAGACACAACACATTCTTAGAATAATCAATTACATGAGACTGGCCCACAAAACATTAAGAAAAATATGCAGTGTAATGCTTGCCAAAATATTTTTTTTGCATTTTTCTCTTACTTTGTATTCATGTGATTTTTTGGCAATATAAAAATAGCTGCACATAGAGATGAACTTTAAAATGTAAAAAATACAAATAAAAATATAATATTTTCTAAAGGAAAATCAGATACATACATCTTTTAAAAATGTTATTAAATTGCATGAAACATTTACAACAGTATAAAGAATATTCACATAAATGTCAATAATATGTAAGACATTCTTTTGTGAATCCAATTTATTAATATTTCTGAGATATGTGAGAATATCCACTGCATTTTGAGAAATGTTGGTACTTTGTTATCAATAAATCAAACGTAATAGGTCAGGTTGAAAAAGTCTTATTCCCAGAGCGACAGTTCTGTCAATAAGCAGCATAGGGAAACTTATGCATTTAAATACATTTAAAAAATCAGAAATGCCATTAAAATGTTTCAGTATTGAATTAGCAAAAACAAAATCCACTAAAAATTCAAGTTGGAAGGGTATCTCTGCTATGGTATATAGTAAATCCAGCTGATATGAAGCTATTTCAACAAAAATGGGGAAAAGTGGGGACTGAAGGTCTTTATACTCTAAAATGACTTAGCAGAATCATAATTGGTCAAGTATGTTAATTCCACTAGGAATGAATTGTTTTAACAGCCAGAATCACATGTGACTGTTCTAAATCATTATTTTTGAGAATATAAGATTACGCTGTTATGGACTTGACTTTCTAGAGATAGCAAGGTTTTTGTTTTGGCAGAAATTAGAAAAGTTCATTTTTGGTAATGTTAATTATTAATATTACTTGATTATCAAGAAATAGAGAAAAACAAGATTTCAAATATCAATATCTGCCGGTTCCTAAGATCATTTATTAGAAGATATGAAAACATCACCCACCTTAACAAGCATAGCTTATTTCTGGGCAAGATTATATATAGTGGCCAAAAAAAAAAAAAAAAAAAGATGAAAAGTGGTGTTAACTTTTTATGCTATAATAGTAACGTTAAAAATAAAACTTTGGAAAATTATGCATGTTTTCTAAGTGATAAAAATATAATACCAGTTAATTTTTCTACAGATACTGACATGCTGATTTGACCATTTCTAAACTAGTAGAGAGGTGTATATATATAATATATAGTAGACAAAGGACATATAGAATGGACTACTGGATGCATAAGAGTTCTTACTATTCCATCAGAACATCATGCACAGGATTCAAGAACAGACTTTTGTTTTTGGTAGAAATTCAAGATGTTCTCATGTTTCCTATGAAATCAAATAAGAAAGAAAAACCTTTCAAGACTGCTTTTCATAATGAAAATGAAAAGTAGAAGAAAAATTTTGGCATATTTATGTGTCAGGTACTCTATGAATGTGTGCAGACTTGTCTAATGTTGGTTTTGTCATGCTTAATCAAATTCTATAAGCTAAAAGATGAGAGTAAAAGTCGATAAAGGCATATGGTATATGAAATGAACATGAAATAAAAGGATCCACAATCCAAGTACACACATATCATCTATAGGTACACTGTTTTGTTTTCTTTTACATTAAGAAAGACTGGTCATTGAACCATAATTATAGTAAATCCATAAACTTGAAAAATAAAATCACGCACTAACAGTTTAGGAATGCTATTAAACAGAGAAATGAAATTATCCATAGTAGAGTTGCATTGTCCATAAAGAAAAAGAAAAGAAATACATTAGCACCAACATAAATGGAAAACAATTTTAAAGCTAAAACACATACCAGTTTGGCATCCTTAAAAGATGCTTATCAGAAATGGAACCTGATCTTGACTTATTTCAAATGTCTTTCATGTATTTTTTCTTAATCTTCTATCCAATAATAGAAATTAAAAGAAAGCAAACTTAAAGAAAAATATGTAGCTGCCAACACATATATCGGCAGACACATTCATTAGTTCATTAGGCAATTATTTGAGGATTCTCTATATTGGTAAAAAAATGGATGATTTAAAATATTTTAGTAACAAAAGTTGAAGATTATGCATGTTGGTTAAGACCTAGCAGTTCCATGGAACAAAGAGGAGGACCATGGTCCTTTTGTTTTCCCCAAGGAAATGTATTGAAAGTTTACAGCTTCCTTTAATCATGGAATAAAAGGCAATATTGTCAAATCAGTTATAGAGTAAAACCTCAATATACACATAGGACAGAACAGTATTCTTAAAGGGCTGTGTTTAAAAAATACATATATTTTTTGTACGTGAAATGTTTCTCTTTTGATGTTAAGGTATTCTCTTTTGAAGCTGTGCAACTTCTAAATAGTGATCCATCTTAATTCCTCTTTCTACTAGAGGAGTAGAAAGAAAGATAGATAGGAAGAAATATAGCCACCAGATTTTTCTCAAGACACTACTGTTTGTTTTCCTGAAGAGACTGTGGTTTTACTCGCTTTAGTTCGTTTTTCCAAAGCATTTAAGACAAATTGTTTCAGACACTGAATAAACTACCTTATCCTAACCAGATCATACAAGAGATGGGTAGAAAATGCCCTCTGTTGTTTTAAAAATGCTAAACTGGTTTCGGAGTGTGGAATGTTACTAGAGATGTTACCAATTTGATTGATAGATTAGTTCAGACATCTTTCCATTCTTGAAAACGTAATGGAAACAAAAAGAAGGCATTTTGTATAACTGAGCATTTGGTTATATATTATGAAAGAGATCATAAGGATCTTGGGATCCTTGTCTTATAATCGTACGTTAACCGTTGTCACCATAAGCCAATGATGAGATCATTTCCCCTCTGCTGGTGAAAACCTATATATGAAACCAGAAAATTTCCCACAAAATGGCATGAAATGAGAAATTATATTGTCCAATGGGCTGAAAGAGTGACTACTCCTCATTGATGACGTTTCTCCTAATGTAACCCTTCCACTTAGAACAAGTCATTTCAAAACATGCTATCAACTCTTTACTGTGCAAAGAAATGCTCAGTCTAATACAGTTAGGTAACTTTTGAGCAAGTAGTTGAAAAATACTTTTTATGGCAACTATATTTCACAGCTTTCTGAGATCTCAGATTTGGTCTGTGCATAAGACAAACATTGAGAAATGTAAAAAAGATAAAGAAATCTAAATATAGACACAACTTAGAACTAAATAGAACTACAAGAAATAGAAATGAGTTAATACGATCAAATGTGACCAAATCTTGACTTTATCTTAACTGATAATCACTATATATGTTATATTCATCATACAAAAAAAAGTCAAAAAGTACTGAAAAATTGTTTAACTTTGATGCTTTACAATGACTGAACTGAAAATGGAGCTTCTGTTATATCCTCTGCAATTATTCAGAACAGGAGAGAAGTTAGCAAATGGTCAACTTGACTGTTGGTACCAACTTATTAGGATTTGAAGACTTTCCTTTAAATAATTGTTCAAAATAAATGTGACAAAAGCTGGAAAACAAATCTTTCCTGAATATTCCTGGGACTAAAAGAGAAAAGAAAAAATATTAAAAAGAATGGAAAATATCCTTCTGTTTCTAGAAGTTTGTAGAAAACGTTTAACATGGGTTGGATCTTGGAAGGAAGGGAAGCTCTCATCAGCTTCAGTAGAGATTGTAGGATGAGCTCTCCTACATCCTCAGGAAAGGTTATTTCGGCCAGCCCCTTCTTGGGACGTGTTGTATCTTCAGCAAGCCTAGTTTTGGTGAGATGCACACACATTTTGCCCTCAGGAACAGGGGCTGTCATTCCAAGAATCTCCTGCCCAAAAGAAGTGCAGTATGCTTCTGTCATTTTCCATAAGCACCCATGTTAACACTTGCTGGAATTCAGTTTATTTTTTTTAAAAAAGTCCTCTATTCTGGGTGCCTGCCTTTGTAAACCTCTTTCTTACTTGGTCACATGAGAGACATAGCGCAGGAGGCTGAACCAATCCTTTCTCTTCGTCTTCACTGCCAAGGGCAGCCCAAGGAAAACTAGTGTCAGCAACCAGCTCAGCCCCTGGACATTTCAACCAAAGAGGCCACGTGAACCCACAATAGTGGAAGCTGAAGATCTGCAGTTGGGACCGCAACTCCTTTCAAAATACAAGACCATTTGTGTGTGTATGCTCTCCGCCACCTTATCACTTTTTGGCAATGAGCCATGGTGTAACCCCCTTGAGATGACAAAAGAAATAAAAGTTCAGATGTGATCAAAGGACTCATAATGCAGCATGCTAGCATCTGAGTTTGCACAGCAAGCAGGCTTGGCACACCATCATGCTTTTTTAATCAGTTTCAATGGGTGGTGTGGCCATGAATAGCAAAGGTGAGTAGGGATGTGACGATAAACTCTAAAATCAGTCAGTATAGTACATTTTCATAGCTTCGAGTTCATATTTGGTCACAATTTCATGTAAACTATCTCATGGCACTTTTTGTCCATGCAATTAACAAGCCCAGAGTAAGAAAATAGCAAGAACAATCAATCTCTATCACTATGTCCATATAAATACATATCTTCACATAAGATAAAGAGATACTGATCTATATTTTTTGCAGGCTTCTCACTGGTTTCACATATTGCCCAATTTCAGATGTAAGAGAAGAAAAAATGGATATGTGTACTACTGCAAACAGGAGGAAGCAGCTATATGTAAACATATCTCAGACTCGTAAAATCTGCAATCCAATTTTCAACTATAAATATAAAAAGTGGACCATTATATACACAACTTCATGCTCGGAAGGTTAGATTCATCACTGCAGAAAAACAAACAACAAAAAAGACAAATGTATAGAATTAGTAGTTTAGGATAAAAATTCCAAATTAACATTTATTTTAAGAAAACTGGTAGAACCCTGAATAGAGGGTTGTTTTTTTTTTTTTAATCAATGAGCCAATTGATATGTCCTATACATTACTTTTCTAAAAGTCATCAAAATTTTTATCCTAGTTTTGCCACTGAGAAGTCCGTGGGAAGTGTTTGTCTCAGTAAGTATTCTGGGAAAGCAGAAAATTAAGATTTTATCACAGATGTGCCCTAATTAAAAACATGTCCCATATATGGCTTATATAATCTTCTCCAAGCATTAAAACACAACTGTGGAAAATGTTGAGGGTTCTGACCTCAGTGGCATTGTTCACTTCATCAATGCCCAACCATAACACTCTACTCTCTTTGGGTTCTGGTTTCCCCTTTCCTTTATCTGGTCCTGCCCTGCTGTGAAGGGCGTGCAGGGCAGACCTCTCTGCTCTCAGGTTTTCAAGCTGTGTTACAGGTTCTATTGTGATCTAAGGATCTGGAAATGTCTGGTTCCTTGTTTTCAGCAGCCATAATTACTAAGGTTTTCCTAGAACTGAAGTTAAGTCTGAGAGAACAGAGGAACAATGGTCTTTGAGGTATAACTTATAGAGCAGATGTTGGTGACAATCTTTACTTTGACTCAAAGAAAAATCAGTGAGAAAAGTAGAATGTCCAGAGAAGGAGAATGATAAAGATCTCTTCATCTCCCCACCACAACGGTGACTCGTCCTCAGAGTCATATTTCAGTTCAATAATTAAAAATATTTGCTTTTCTCTCTCCAGTAGAAATAGATGCTATATTAAGTGTGCTTAAGAGGCTGGGTACTTTCTGATCTTTAGAAATGAAGTTCACTCAATGTTACACACGTCATGCCAAGGCCAGAGAATGTGTCTACAGGAAATATTCCTTTCTCCAAACTCCCACTTATCTCAAATTTCAAACAGATGCATTTTTTTGACAAACCAATGTTTTGTAAATAATCTCCAGAATTTTAAAGATTCTTTTTTTCCCCAGACTTTAAAACTTAATTTAAAAATCCTGTCACCTTACTTTAGGAAGATTCTGTTGCAAACCTGTCAGCCCTATCTGGAAAAATGAAATTTCATGAAACATTAAAAAATATGAAGGCCATATGTATTTTTCCTATTAAATAGTTTTTAATCTCTGGATCAGGACAGATGATAACTTTAATAGCTTGTAAGTATTTTCTTAACCATAAATTCTGCCATTTACTCACTGTACAAATTATGATGTGAATTAGTATATCATTTATTCTTCGAAATTTAGAAAACTGAACTATATCTAGAAAGAAAAGTAATTTAAACAAAGATCAAATAGTTTTACATGAAGAAACTATTATTGAGAGTAGTATGACTAACAGGACTTGTTCACAGTGATTTCTACTGTGGCTATAATCTGAATTTTCAGTTAAACATTTACCACTGTGCTCTAGAGACTACTAAACGTAATGTTTAAAAAAGTGGTCCACTAAAACAGGACTGAGTAATCTACTGGCTTTCTTTTAAAAATATCATTTAAAAATTCATTGGATTTGACCAACAATGTATTTGAGATAGCTAAGTTGACCACGTAAGAGATTATATTCAATAGAACATTTCGTTTTTCTAATTGTTTCTTTCTTCTGTTTTGGGGGGAGGGGGTGTTGGGGGAGGATAATCACCACTGTTTGCATTTGATTGTGTTGGGGAGTGTGGTAAGCGATACTGAAGCTTTATCATTGAGCTATGATTCTTTTTCTTTACCATTTAAAACAATTTTATTGAAGTATAGTTGATTTACAACGTTGTGCATTAGTCTTTATATAAAAAGAGGCTGGATTTAAGACAGCCTTAATCTTATGTAGAGCATAGTGTATATTCTGCGGAGAAAGAAGTACTTAAAAGGGAAATTTCTGATTTTCTGAGCTACTCATATTAGCTCATATTACTAGGTTTGGCCATTTTATGAACCAAAAAGATGATGAATGCTTTGCTTGCTGCCCTTATTTTTATGCCTTCACAAAAAAGGAAGTGATTTAGAAGTGGCCAAAAATGATGTGAACCCAAATGCTGAGTAGTGTCAGAGGGTGGATAAAGCAAGCCTTTCACATCTCTCTCCATGTAAAGTGTGCCAATGACTGGATTAAAAAATCATTATAGTATTAGATTACAGGGCAAAGGTTAAGGAGCAAATGGTAATTCCAGCTCAAGAAGGTATTAAAAATTCTGAGAACAGGGGTTATGACGGTAAAAGGATAGTTTTCTCAGGTGAAGAATATGATGATAGCCTCATCTTCCCAAGAACCACTTGACCTCAGCTGTGATGGAGCTAATGATCTGACAGGCTGAAAGTGGAGTATGGGAAGCTACTAAATAAATGACGCTACTGGGAGAGAAGGATTTTCTTTCCCTCACCAAGTGGGGTGAAAGTAGTTAAGCAAGAGAGTGAGTTTCACAGGATCTCCTCACAAACGGAGTTGATGAGATGAGAGGAAAATAAGTCTCTCCTCATCTTTTTGCAATCCTACATAGTTTTGCTGTGGGTTTGCCAACGAAGCAAAGCCTAGCAAAAATGACCAAAGAAGCCACAGGTGTTAGAGAAAAAAATTTCAAAATGATGAAAGAGTATGTACATTTCCCTCTGGCTCATTTTCACATCAGTAGAATTCCTTTAACCTCAGGTAGCATATGCACAGTCCTTTATAATTAGGCGCACACCGTTACTGTGTAAAGGTTGGGTATTCTCTGAAAGGCACAGCACATACAGATCTCTTCCCTCCTTAAAGTTCTGCCATTGCTTTCCATTGTCTACTTCTAGTTCTGTTACATACTAGCTCTGTGTCCTTGGAAGTTACTTAACTTCTCTGAATTTTACTTTCCTCATTGGCATCATTCACGATAATAATACACTATAGGGTTATTATGAGGATTAAATAAAGTGATGTCACCTATATGAAAGGGCTTATCACACAGCCTTTGTACAAGAAGGTTCTCTATGAAGAATAATCTCCCTTCTCTGCTGAATACATACACAGTGACTATGGGTGGCCACATGTAGAGGCTACAGCAAACTGATATCATCAGGGACACCAACGTAAATATAACCAGATTCTCCTAAATAAATCAAGACCTCATCGAAGAAAAGAAAATTATGCTTACATTTTCTGCTTTCTCAGCTTTGTGACTAATATTGACAGGGTTCTACCACGTATTTGCATATTTGCCTAAGTAACTGAGTATAAACAGAAAAAGAATCACAATTAAGAATAATTTTAAACAGTAGGAGGAAAAGGAGTTTGAGACAAGCAAACCATTGTCAAGATGCACTGCCCCTTTCCATTCTGAAGAAAAGATTAAATAGGGAAGGTTCCAAATTACAGTGTTTGCCAGGAATTCTTTTTACTCATCAGTTTAGGAAGAAATCAGTAGCAAACACCATTAAAAGATACTCTAGAGACGGGACATTTTGCTTCTTAATACCCAAACGCCTTTCAGCAATGTCAAATTCAAAAAATCTGTTCTAAATGGAAAAGCCTAGGCCAGGTAAAGAGAAAAGGACAGTGCTTCTTTTAGAAATAATTCTGTAAAGCCTACCTTTTGCCAACAGCCGGGCATGGGTAATCCATCTGGCCCCTATTTTAAAAAGAAGAATAAGAATTCCTCAGGTTCCACGAAAGTGATCATACTTCATAATACGCACAGAGGCTTAAAAATGAATATCTACCTGTTAGGTGGCTTTAGTCAGAGGCATCTTTTACTAATAATCAACTCCCAAGATATTACCCAACATTAGTTAAAAGGAAGAAAATTTGAATGTTTTCCAAAGTGAGTACGTATTTTTCAAATAAATAAAATATAGAAAGGTTTATAATTAACTTTGGATAATAATTTGTAAAACCTAGTGGTCTGCTTAGTTATATCTTTAGATAATAACTCTGTACTATTTCTCTTAATTTCATTAAAACGCATTCTATAATTATCTTTATTCAATAAATGGAAATAACTTCTCTTCCTGGTCACTATGTTCTATGGTTGAATGCATGATAAGGATGAGTAAACAGTGATGAACCATTTCTATCTGAAGTTTATAGCTCTTCCTATGGAGCATCTTTCAACTTTTCTATATTGAAAGCAGATAAAGTAAAACATTAAATTGATTGAATTAAAAGAGAGGCAGCCAGTCTATATCTTTATAGTAAAATGCTATCCACAGCCTTTCTCAATTTTTAAATTAAAATTCTTCAGAAGCCAATTAACAAATTCTGAATAAACAAGGGATTCTTAAATGTCGCAAAATTTATTTTCACTTAAAGGGTAAGCACTCTTCAGATACAAATGATATAAATAAGGCAGGAAGAGTTGATATATTATGAAGCATGCTTGTGTTTTACCCCCAAAAAATTATTGTAAAATATTATTTATTGTCAATACCAAGCAAACATAAAAGACTGGGCATATCATATTGACATTTTCTAGTTGCAATTATTGACTGAATAAAATTTTCTTCTACAATACAATCTCTTAAAAGACTTGAGAAACAAATTTATCTTTAAAGAATCATGCTTAGTATTTAAGAATAATATAAGAACATGCAGACCAAGTATAACCATCAACACAGTCATAAAAAGTTTTCCTTTACACCTCAGAAAATTTACATACACTTTCTTTTTAAATGTAAAAAAAAAACACCATGAAATAACTTTATAAGATATTTGGGAAAAAAATCGGTAATGCCAGATTGGTACAAGGAAAAGGGTCACCCGGTAGAATTTTAGATTTTAGTATAAGGGTTTTTGACATGCCAATGGAGGTAGGGGAGATCTGTCTACTTTAGGAAAGTGAGTTTCAAAAGGAGGGACCATTAAACTGAAAAGGTTATGTGACAAAGAAGAGGGTTTGGGCTGCAGACTATTATCTTTAGACGCTCAGAGAAGTTTGGTTTTCTCCCCTACGGTCTCTTAACAGCATTCCTTTGAATTGGTTAAGTCTTGACCACAGAAGCTCAACTATGTACGTTTGATCTTATTTATAGCCTGACAGAAATTTAGTGAAAGGCAAAAATGCCTTTATTTCTTTTAAGGAAAAAAAAAAGGTAACTTTAGGGGTAAAACCCAAAGTTATAGCCTAGTTGTACCTTTACATAGAAGATTTTTATGCACTTTTAATGTCATCTTGAAATGGTTATTAGATAAATTGACATTCCCCAGAACACAGACGTGGCAGCTGTGTCCGTTGTGAGAACAATGTCAGGAGATTAATTTGCAGTCACTGATTGACATGCGTGCATGCTCTTTTCACTCTGCAGTCACTGAAGGAGCTATTCATGCACATGCGTGTAGCGTGTTTATCATGTAAAGCTTGCTCCAGAAGTACCACTTTACACTGAGAGAGATGAAGATGTAATAAACAAAGGGATTGCATGCAGGGTGGTAGGAAAGAGAAATACTGTACCAATTGGCAAGGGGCATCCAGCCCATCCAGGCCAGGCTGGCCTGGCTCCCCTTTTTCCCCCTTAACGCCACGGAATCCCTGTTTGTAAAGATTAACTCATAATGTTACTAAACAGAAGAAATCACTTAAGCACAATTTCTGCTAATGAAATAACCACAATAACAAAAGGCTGGGAGAGGAGCAACTCTGAAGGGAAAGGTAACATCCAGCGACGCTGGACAAAACAAAACAGAGCTTGATGTGGTCCTACAACTAGCGCTTCTCTGGGAATGGGGACCTGCTCTCCGGAGCAGGACTGAGGAGCACGGGTTCCTCCTCCGATCCCGCATTCATGCCCTGGATGCACATCAGTACTTGAGTGTTGAGAAACCAGGCATAGCTGGTGGCTAGAGAGAAGGGGTGGAACACACTGACAGCCTGATATCGATGTTTCTGGGACCTTAAAGTCTACGTTAAAAGATGCCAATCAGAGCCCCCGCTGGTGCAGTCCCTCCAGTTTGCTCCTCTCCCAGCTTCGCCTCCGCATGTGACATCTGGAGACGGTTGCATGAGTCAGACATACCAACGGGCAGGGTGCATCTAATCCAGGAGCACCCTGTTCTCCTTTCTCCCCTTTAGGCCCCTTTTTGCCTTTCTTTCCCTTTTCCCCCTGTGGATACAAGGGTTTAAATAAGACAGGTTTTATTTTGGGGGGGCGGGGGGAAGTAACGGTGATTCAAAAGATGGTTTAGCCAATAAAAGTCTGGAAGGGCATTTACCACTGTTTTCTGGTTTAGGTAAGGCATGATATTATGAAAAATAACAGACTCCCAGAGTGGCAATGGATTCTGGGCAGTGATGTACAGGATTTTATTAAAAAGATTCAACAAGATGAAAGAACTTGAAGGCTGACACATCAGAAAGGAGAATCAGTGCTGACTTAGACCCCAGTGCCGTGGTCCTTGTGAATGAGGTGTTCCTGCCACCGCTTTGGTGAAGATGACAGATACCAACTGTATTGAATCCAGCCAGTGGCAGTGAGGTTCAGAGGAATAATGGAGACTTCACCCAATTTTCAGTACCTGCCAACTTGCTTTTTTTCTAATCCTATAACAGATGAAAGCTACATTGAGCCAGAGGAAAAGGAAAAAATCTTGGCAGCTTCTATCTTTTTGAAATGAATCCAACTTTCTGACATTATTTTTTGTAGTTAGTTCTCATTTAAACATATTCAGTGTGTTAAAAATATACTCTTTCTTTTAACATTCTTTTTAAGGAAACTAAAAGCAAATACTTTCCTTAGTAAGCCAGATAAACAAATTTTAAAAGTGCTAAGATTTCTCAGCAATGCCACTTGGAGAAACAGACTTGTTTATAAACTCAAAGATGTTCTTTAATTCACTGTTATTGGTCTCATGCCAGGTGTTCACAATGGTAAATGGGTTTCCAGCTTGCTCACAAGGTAACAAAAGCCAAAAAAACAACAAAAAAAATTCTGTTCAAGAGAGGAAAAGCAGTTTGGATTCAGTTGAGCTAATGCTAAAAATGAGGTAGGCAGGATAATTACATGGTGGGAATGTAGCCATGGAAATTAGTATTTAGGAATCAAGGTAAAGGTTGTGGAAAGCTGCATGGATCATAGGGATGGAGGAATTAAGGCAAGGAGGCAAAAGGAGGAGAAGTAAGGAATGCACCTCAGCTGTTTCACATTAACAAATACCTCTGCATATTTATAGACAAGAAGCTGGTGCAGTACAGAATACAAAATACTATGCAATACATATTTAAATTAGTGTATTCGTTCTGCAATCAGGATGGCAGATACAATAAGTCTGAATAATTTCAGAAGCGAAACAACATGAATATTCAAAGACATATACATAACAGATATAGACGAGATATGCACTCAAATTAATGCATCCTTTCTGTGTGAGTGAAAGCTCCACATTTATCTCCTGTGTGCCAAAAACATTGCATCAGAAGGCTCAGAATCAAAGCCATTTGGGTTTCTCTAATATGGGGGAAAGAGAGAACTTCTGTGTGGTTTAGTTGATCATGATCAAAAACAAAGACCCGAGATGCCAGGGTGAAATGAAATGCGAGCAGGTGTGATAAGAAGTAAGATGGGAGGAGCTTTCGGGAGTAAATTGCTCACTCGTGCAAGATGAATCGACATTCTTCCTCAGCAAGTGACATCATTGCCGTGAAGTAAAATTGATTTAAACTTCATTGGGAGGGAGTGGACTCTTCTTCACATAGGTGTGACTGACACCCGCTGTGTTGGGTATTATTAATTTTGGACTCCATTCATTTTTTGATGGGTTAATCAACTCAGAATAATCACTCAACGGAAAGTGTTGTCATATGAATGTTGACTTTAACAGGCTCTGGGAATCGTTTTTCAGTAATATTCTAGTGAACCTCAAGCTTTATGGAGAACAGACGCTTTTACGAGGATAATGTGTCAGTGTTATTGTTAATCAGCATAGTTCTGTCTTTGTGGGAATGAACACATGAAGGCTCTTGCTAATTTTTGTCTCCCGTGTCAAAGAATGATATACAAAAAGTATTCACGGGCTTCCCTGGTGGCGCAGTGGTTGAGAGTCCGCCTGCCGATGCAGGGGACACGGGTTTGTGCCCCGGTCCGGGAAGATCCCACATTCCGCGGAGCGGCTGGGCCCGTGAGCCATGGCCGCTGAGCCTGCGCGTCCGGAGCCTGTGCTCTGCAATGGGAGAGGCCGCAACAATGAGAGGCCCGCGTACCGAAAAAAAAAAAAAAAAAAAAGAAAAAACAGTATCTACAGCGTCCGAAGGCAACAAGTCCTGGTCCCTGCGTAATGGACTCACTGGGTTTATCGGGCATACTGCTTGCCTTCCACTTCCCAATAAAAAAAAAAAAAAAAAAAAAAAATCAAGATACAGGACATATCTTCTGTCTCTACTGGGAATGTCGTGAAGATGAATGAGATGCTGAATTTACAGGGTTAGCTGAGCTCTGCCAGAAGCCTGTTGCAGATTTGTGCTATTTAATTTTACTCAATGTCATAAATGCCTCCCCCACCCCCATTTTCAAAAACCCCTGAAAACTTCATCTTTCAATTAATTGGTGTCAGGTAGTCCAAAGATTGTAGCCCAGATATCTGGGGATTATAATTCTTTTCTTCTGTGCTAACAGTGCCCTTATTTCTTGCAGTGTAGCCTTTATTCCTCTGTGAAGATGTGGTTCTTCAGATCAGACATCAGAGTGTTTTTGGAGCACAGGATGGAGAAAGATTAGACGTATGAAAGAATCACACAGGTTGAACAACAAAGCAGACAGAAGCAGAAAAATCAAACAGGCACATGCTAGGCTGGAGAGGTCACCTTTTCCCCCTTTTCTCCTAGATCACCCTTCTCGCCTCGTGGACCAGGGAAACCCTATAGGATAAAAAGCAAACCAAAAAGATCTATTGGTATAACTGTGGCAACACCATATTGAAAAAAACCTTAAGAATTCATGTTTCTGAACGCAAATATAAAGAAACATGGCATGCCTTCAAGTCTCAAAACTTAGATGGGTAAAGTGGCACTTAGAAATAACAGTTTCCTAACATCTCAAATATCTGTAAACAAAATGTTTCTTGCTTTTTCTCCAAAGAAATGTATAGTGGAGAGAATATCAGGATCCTAGTTTGAATCCTGGCAAGTTCTCTGATTTGTGGGACTGCGGGCAAACTTACTTCACCATTTTAGTCCTTTGACCATAAGACGAGGTTAATACCTATTAATACTACACATCTGCTGGTGTGAGCATTAAATGTGATGATATATGTAAAGTACCAGAATGATGTCTGCAGACAAATGGTGCCCAATAAAGAGTAACTACTATTACTTTTTGCTACTGCTATTATTCACATAAATACAGGATGAGCAGTAATCATTTTAGGAGGGATTGACTTTCGACATTCTCTATTTTTATAGAATTATGTTGCTATAAGATATATAGAGACTTTATGCTAAAAAGAAAAATACTGCATAATAGCTTTGAGAATAAACATACCATTCCCTAAGGGTGGCATGTGAAAGATACTTCGATTTTATGCATATTTTAAAATAAGTAATTTAACCACTCATGTTGAGTGTCTAATTTGGGAAAGTATTTTGAAGTGCCTCTATCAACTGTCAGTTATTAATTTCATACTAGATAATTATGCTTTTTGCTCTTATGTCTATCTCATGCCAACCCTAGTGGTTTATTTCATATTGCTGTCTACACACACAGCAATATATGCTGTGCACAGAAAAATATTAGAAGTATTCTTGCTGTTATTGATGATGGAGACCATCAGCATCTATTATAATGGGAAGATGTTTATTGTAGGTATTACTTACATCAAGACCAGGCTCTCCATCTTTCCCCTGCCAAAGAATCATAGTAGCTACATTAGTGTTCCTAAGTTTCACGAATAGGTTATTATTCTATTTAAGGCTGCCTGGACATGCAACACTAGTATAAAAACAACTAATTCAGAAATGTGAAAAAGATCCTCTATTGATTAGTAACACAAATTTCTTTCAGTAAATCAAGTGAAGTGACTGTTAATGTTGCAGGTAAGTGTCATGAAAATGTTTTTATTCTATATCAGGTTAAGTAGTCTGTTATTTTGCTGAAGTTTAATGCTTGGTATTCAAGTTATCAATCTAAGAGTAAGTCAAAAGCAAAAATACTGTTTAGTTGATTGAAAAACACACCAGCACTAACATTATAAGCACATCTATGCTACTTTAGTTTGACAACTTAGTAGTTAGCTCATAAGTGTGTAAAGAATGTGAAAACTGTTTATTGTTAAATACAATTAAGTAATCATGGTTTGAGCTTATTATTTCAATTCATAAAAACTAGAAAGTACAAGGTACGTGGAAAATACATAGGGGTTAAAAACCTTGAGACAACAGTATATGCTTCTACTGTAGTTCTGCCCTACCCCATCAGATCATTTACAATTATCCCAAAGATAATATTCTGAAGCAAACCCGAGGCTCTCAATTTGAAGTGGGTGTAATTGAGAATTTTCAGAAGATAGAACACTATCAACCTTCTCTGTTCTGAAGATCACTTGTCATCACGGTAATTTAGAAAGGTCAGAAACATCAAAGTCATCAGAAACATCAATCTGAGAAATACCTTTTATTAGCAAGAGCAGTTTTTGTAAGTGATATATGAGAACAGATAAAGTCTGAAGAGAGTTTTTAAAATTAAGCTTCCACACCCACTTCTGGTACAATGACCTCCCAAGGAAGGGCCAATTATGGGTCTGGTCAGATGGCCCAAGGAGGGGTTATCTGACAGTCAAAAGCCCCCTTTCAGGTTAGCACTGTCCATCTCATGGACAACCTCTGATCCTCTCAATCTGGTGAAGTGTGTGGGTGTCTGTATGTGAGTGTAAGAATACGACACAAATATGACCTATCTCTGAAGTACACAGTTACATTGGCGTTGAAGAGAATTAGTGGATTGTTCTTTGCTCCTCTAATGGGATTAGTCTCCCCACGAGGGGAGGGTTAACCACGCCAGGGACAGGTCATCTATACATGCTGAAGGGAAACACCATCGCGAGACAAGAGAACTCACGGGAAGACCATACGGTCCTCGGGGTCCCGGCTCTCCCATAGCTCCTTTTTCACCCTATAATGAAAGGTGAAAGTGCAAATCATAAACAAACACCTATATTCACACACTTTCCCTGACGGCCTGTGGCTAAAGCCTCTATTTGAAGTATCATTCTATCAAAATTCCAAAGAGTCAGGCTCTTTCAGGGCCGCTGCCAGTGATAGAGCAAAAGAAATCCATGTTAGCATATTTTACAGAATCACCTTTGAAAGAAGGGCTGTCTGCCCAGCAGTGCAAAAGGACTTGCATATCTAGGGTGTGGTGCTTGGGTTTCTTTGGCCTTACTGTGAAATGTTTGTTACTGATTATTTTAACTTACTACTTTTTCAAAAAGGTAATAAGAAAATTCTTTTTCCCCCAAATGTCTCTTCAGCAAGCCCTTCCTCCTTGACTGCCCCTGCCCTTAAATGAGCTTCACGGTGCTCATACACCAGGAGACATACCCACGTTATAACTTGTCTATTCTCTGCTGAGCCCCTCACTGGAATCTCCATATTAGGGTGCCAGGGCCCTGGCTTTTTTCCCTACTGCATGCCCACGGCTTATAATAGTGTCCGGCACATCAGTAAATATTTGCATAATTCATGAATCAAGTCACATCAATACAATCATGTATGTTTTGCTTCCTTTCGGAAAAAGAGGGTTTAAAAACATTTATGCTTTCTACTCAGTGCCTGATAAGGTAGGAATTTACTAACTCATCACTCTCTCTCCATGTACCTATTTAAGTAGCAGAGCTTGTCTCAGCTTAAATAATAATCTTTTTTTTTAAACTTATTTTATTATACAGCATGTTCTTATTAGTTATCTATTTTATACATATTAGTGTATATATGTCAATCCCAATCGCCCAATTCATCACACCACCACCACCACCACCCCCGCCACTGTCCCCCCTTGGTGTCCATACGTTTGTTCTCTACATCTGTGTCTCTATTTCTGCCCTGCAAGCTGGTGCATCTGTACCATTTTTCTAGGTTCCACATATATGCATTAATATACGGTATTTGTTTTTCTCTTTCTGACTTACTTCACTCTGTATGACAGTCTCTAGATCCATCCACGTCTCTACAAATGACCCAATTTTGTTCCTTTTTATGGCTGAGTAATATTCCATGGTATATATGTACCACATCTTCTTTATCCATTCATCTGTCGATGGGCATTTAGGTTCCTTCCATGACCTGGCTATTGTAAATAGTGCTGCAATGAACATTGGGGTGCACGTGTCTTTTTGAATTATGGTTTTCTCTGGGTATATGCCCAGTAGCAGGATTGCTGGATCATATGGTAATTCTATTTTTAGTTTTTTAAGGAACCTCCATACTGTTCTCCATAGTGGCTGTATCAATTTACATTCCCACCAACAGTGCAAGAGGGTTCCCTTTTCTCCACACCCTCTCCAGCATTTGTTGTTTGTAGATTTTCTGATGATGCCCATTATAACTGGTGTGAGGTGATACCTCATTGGAGTTTTGATTTGCATTTCTCTAATAATTAGTGATGTTGAGCAGCTTTTCATGTGCTTCTTGGCCATCTGTCTGTCTTCTTTGGAGAAATGTCTATTTAGGTCTTCTGCCCATTTTTGGATTGGGTTGTTTGTTTTTTTAATACTGAGCTGCATGAGCTGTTTATATATTTTGGAGATTAATCCTTTGTTGGTTGATTCGTTAAACGATCATCTTGAATGCTTATAAAAAATAAGTGTAATTGGAGGTGGCCCCAGGAATATGAAATTAAGATAATAAAAAAAGAGATGTCTGCATTTCAAGTAGTGTTTTCTTCTGCTGCCATCTCCAAAATTAAACTGTCAGTATTTAATATGGAAACGTCAGGAGAATGATGATGTTTATGTGAGGGGCCAAAAGAAAATGTTACCTTCTTTTATCACACCCCTGAAGAAGTTTAACAGTAGCAAATCTCTTCCAGGGGTAAAATGTCAAGTTCAGCTGATAACTGTGCATGCAGATCTAAGTATTATTCTGTGTTTCTCTACACTCCAAATTCCCACGTGAGCAAATTTCAAGTCACTGTCAATATTCTTCTTTAACTTAAACTTAGGGGTTGTTGGTGCTAATTAGCACTGTCACTTAGAGGCACATATAGTATAGGGAGATTTGGGGGAATAAATATGATAAAAGCTTATTGCACTTTTACTCATTATTACTTTATGTTTATTACTGAAAGAGCAGGAATCGCATTCAGTAAAGTGGCCAGGCTTTGAAATGAAACAGATTTAAATTTGAATTCCAGTTCTGGCACTGACTGGTTGTGTGGCCCTGGGTAACTTTCTTAACCTTTCTGTGCCTGTGTTTCATTGGCTGTAAAATAAGAGAGTAATACATATTCTGCAAGAATTTTTCTGAAGATTAAGTGTGATTATAAAATATGAAATTATATGTTGCCAAATAATGTGTCCATAAAAAGAAGCTCTCGTTATTATCGTACAGTTAGAGGTCTTGTTTTTAATGAAAAGGGCTTGAAAACCCAAAGAGCACTAATTCAAAATAAAGTTCTTTCAGTTTGATCTGTCAGTGTTATTTATGATTTTTTAAGTGATGGTGGTGCTGTTGGTAATGGTGTGTGTGTGTGTGCACGCACGCACGTGCGTGTGCATGTGTGCGTGTGTAAATGGGAGGGGAGGTGGGGATTTAGAAGGAAGGTTCATGTAACCTGGAGTTGGTCTAATTCGTAAAAACTCAATGGATTAGAGTAGCTGTGGTTTGAAATATCTCCACAGATCATTTTGATATACCTACTCCCTTCTTCCTCCTCTGATTGAGTACTTCAGCTTTATTTTGTTTTTAAAATGAATATACCGTGGCTGATTTGAATTCAGCTGTCACTAAAGCTGTGGAGATCCTCTTGCAGAATTGCTCACCCCAAATACTTACTTTAAGCTAATAATGACAATTCCATCTCACTCCCAGTGACTGCTTCAGAAGTGGACATATGACCCAATCCTGGTCAATGAAGTGTCAGGGGAAGTGGCTGGGAAGCTTTGGGGACAGTTTCCTCACAGCTAAGGAGGATACAGGAGAAGACAGTCCCTATGTTTGCTCTCTGCCGATGCCTTGCCAGAGGGGGGTCTGGGACCGCTGCAACCAGCTTGCCTGTGGTCAGAAGACAAAGCCAGCTCTTGGAAAGGGCACAGAAGCAAAGCCTAGAGTTCCTCCTTTGACTATTGTGCCACACAGAACTATAAATTTCTTTATTGTTTAAGCCATTTTGAGTTGGGGTTCTGTCACTTGGAGCCAAAAGCAGCTTAATGGTTTCAGCTTGAAAACTTTTAGGAATGAAATATTACCACAGGGCCTTGAATGTGCAACTTCTTTTCCGGGATTAATTCATTCCAAAAGAACTTTGAACCTCTCAAATTTAACACACTCTACGCAGTTCCTTAGTGGTTACAAGGCCAAGATGAAGAAATCAGCTGCAGGTAGGACGATAGGTGCTCTGAAGAGCTGACTACTAATGCTGCCAGTCATGTATTTGACAATTCTTGAATAACACTGTCTGTCAAATGCCTGGTTTCTTTTAGGCTGGTCTCATTTCATTCAGGATCTTTAATTTGCATGCCTACACTGAGGAACTATTCTAGAATGAACCCCTTTCTTGATTCCTGCCTCTTTAAAATTTGAAACTTTTTCAAGAGAGTCCAGATGGCACCTCCATCAATTCACTTTGAGAATCACACTCCAGTTTAGCACTTAGGGAGAGGGGCACTTGGAGAGAGTACTGATATCTGATCCAGTTAAGATAGTCAACATGCTGAGTAAATACAAGTGTAACACTTTACACTGCACACCATTTGACTTAAACTATGCCTTCACAAATTCTTAGCCATTTCATTTGCTCTCCTGGCGAATTCTACCCCGGCGCTGAGACCTGATACTCTTATGACACTGTGGAGCTCTCGGAAGTAACAGCTGATTTACCAAACGGTAAACCCTCTTGAGTTCCAGGGCCTTCTGCCACTAGACTACTTGAGATTTGCCGCTCCATTTTTAGTTCATGTACTGGATTTCTTGATACAATGCTTGAATGCACCAGCAGCATGAGGCTCTTAGCTTTTAAATCTTTTTAATTAAGATGATCTTCGTAAGTCTTTTGTTTGACCTTAGAAATAAATTCAGATGACTTATTTCCTTTAGGACTCACCTCTTCCTAGAAGGATTCTTGGGTAAAGCCAGCCTTCCTCATCGCTGAATGCACGGCATGTACTATTTGTATTCACTTAGGCCTCATTATCTAGTTATTCCTTGCAGGTATTTTTTTCCTCTGCAATTAGATTGTAAACTCTTCGAGATCATGGAAAATAGCTCCTTCCTTCACAGTACCGAGTGAGTATATACAGTGTATTAATAAAAGGTTATAGGATGATGAATCAATTACTATTATGCAATTCATTGGAACAATTAGCAAAATAGACTTCATAAATGGGAGGAGAGCATTTTCATTCCACACTACGAGTACATTGTGTTTTGTACATCTTAATGTGATAAATACTTACTGAATAAGTGAATTCATTTTATAGGACATGGAATTATGGGATGGGGATGTATGCCAAAGAAATCACTACATGGCCCTCTATTTTAAAGCAAATTATCCCAGACTGATGAAACTCTATCTAGTTTTAAAAGACCACAAGGTTGCACAATGAATCATTCCAACATTTTGACGTCCTCACCATTAGGATACTTTCTTTACATCCTATTCTGGATGGTGGGGAAATTGATGACACAATTCTACTCAGATACAAAAAAAACCTTCTAAGTTTTTCAGGGTGAGGAAAAGAAAAAGCAGAAGAAAGACAGAGAAAGAGGGAGAGGAGTTCCAGACAGATGACCAGCTGCTGATGCTGTAGTACATTTTTTTGTATCAGATGTTTATCTTCCGCTCTGAGTGTCTTTTTTCCCCCCAAAGATATGGAAACATGGCTTAGCAATAGAGAGGTTAGTGGAAGGTTTTTGTTTTATAATGCACTAAAATTATTTCCTTATGGTTAAAGAAAGGCTATTCTTTTGCTTAAAAAGAGGAGCATGTGTAACTGTGCAGAGAATACTTAGGTTTTGTAAGTTCCCTTTAGAAAAGTTATAACTTACTCTGAATGAATACAGTAGCTTTATATAAAAGATTATCGACCAGAATATACAGTCCTGGAAAGTTTAGACCTATTGACATCAACTTTCTGGATTAAGGCCAAATGAACACATCTCCCTTAGGGGTTAGGGAGGAATGGTCTGAGCTATTTACTTTAGCTATGAAACTGTATGCATCTGTTTTGTTGTTGTTAAGGCAGGCATGTCCTAATACTCTGTCATTCTCTCAGCATGACGACCCTGAATAGAGCTTAAGATGGCATCTATTTCCATTTACTATTGGATGGCCCTTTATTTCTTCTGGGAAATGAACAGCTCAGATCAACTAAGATGGAAAAGCCACACTCTGTGTTTTCCTTAGGTCACAGCTTAATAACCTCAGGAGCAACTTACTCTTTCTCCTTTGGGACCTGCAGGGCCATGGGGTCCCATAGGGCCATCTGTACCCTAAAAAAAGATAAAAATAATATAATATGAGACATATCCCAAGGGTTGTAAGAAAAGCAGTTATAATTTATCCTGGACTTTTCCTGGGTGAATGATGCCTTAGAATGTCAGTAAGACAACACGTCTCCTTTCAAACTGCTTTATGCTTGCTTCTTTCAGGCCACTAGTTTTCCAGAAACTCATGCAAAAGGGATGAATTATATAACTGCCTATTTCAATGAAAGGCTCACACAAAATACTGTATATCATATTTAATTATATATTTCCTCCCTGACTAAATGGAAAATCTTCACTTTGCCCCCAAAATCTTAAGAAAAAATAATTGTTTTTGCTTCACATCACCTCTTCTTCACATCCATTCTCTGCCCCTACAGTTACCCCTACTCCTCTTGGCCACAGATGCTCTGAAGTCTTGTCTTCAGCTGTTTAAGAGGCTCGAATAGTTATACAAGTAAAAAAAAAAAACTTAAATAAATGAGAACAGTGTTTAACTTTTCAAGCTTTCTTCAGTTCTGTTGGAAGCAGCAGGGGGCTTAGAAGGAAGGAATTATTCTTATAGGTTCTGCTGCAGTGGCTCAAGTCACTAGGCTTATAAGGCACAAACCAGGCAGCTGGATGATTTAATGGCATAATTGCCCTCTGGCCTCCTGGTTCAGGATTAGGATTTCTGTGGCAGATGAGATAATATTTGGATGAATATAGGAACACTGAGGTCCAGTGAAAATAATGACTGCCTGAAACAGGTTTTTAGAATTGAAGAGCTTGGAATTCTTTTTGATTCTTAAAAATGTAGCAAGGACTTCAGGTATATTTGCTCGTTTTCAGGGAGACTATGCTTAGATTTGCAATGAATTTATTATGATATTTGCAAACAGAAACTATTCTAGCACAACTTTTTTAGTATTCCTATTTCTGTTTTACTATTCTTGTTTATTCTATGAGTCTTGTGATATGAAATAATTCAGGGTTTTAAACTCATTCTAATGTTGGTGAATTATCAACATCAGTTTGATCTTTTTCTTACTGCCTGAACTCAAAGTTCATCTTCAGAAGACTTCTAAATATTGAGGACCTGTAGCTGAAATTTAAGAGATGGAGCTGTTAAGAACCATAGAAAAGAGACAAAATGACAGAAGACAGACAAGTCATTTCAATGAACGAGATTTGAAAGTTAGTTCCAAAGAAGAAGTTACATTTCTAATATGGATATAAACATAAAAGGAAAAGCAAGTTAAAATAAATTCACGTGATTTTGATTCCTTCAGAGGGCCCCTCCCATGGAATTGCAGGAAGTGTTCATTGGTTATGGAAAAATCTGTCTGGGATTCTACAACAATGAAGCCAATTAGATTGGTCATTCTTCCCACGTCACAAGTTATCCAGACTTGAACCCCGGCTTCAGAAAGATGTTCTGCAGTTTAGGCTGTATGACAAACAAGGCTGCAACCCAGGCTTTGTCTACCTTTCCCTTTTCTGCCCTATCTTTGTCCACTTTCTTCTGCTCCAGTCCTATGTGCCCCTCATCATTTGATGGGAGTCTGTCCTGAAGCATAATACTCCTAGCCACAAAACCTGTTGGAGCAAGTTGAGGTGCTGACTCACCCGGGATCCTGGCTTTCCGTCTAAGCCAGATGCTCCCTGTGTGATTTGGTTGGTAGCAGGGTTGGTGGGTGTAACACGAATGACAAGAACAGAGATTAGTATGAGGTACTGATGAACAAATGTAACACTTCAAACAACATAATACGCAGTCACAGGGTTCTGGGATGAATATCACATTGCTACAAATTGTTAGTTAAAAAAAAAAACCATGTGACAATAAACACCCCACAGATGATGGCATTTTTATGACATTTCCATTTGATAAATTCTTACTTAGAAATCAAGTGAATGAGGTTTATAAAGTGGGCTTTAAAATAGTTACCAGTAACAGTCTGGGTTGCTAATTTCTGTATGAAATTAATTTTCTAAAGACTGTGCCATTCACAATATATTCCTTTCGGTTCTGAAAAAAAAAATAATGGTCGATCTTCTAGGAAAGGGCTCATTATAATAATCAATCAAGTTAGAATTTCAGAGGAGAAGAAAACAGCTCTAGTTTTATTTGTTTAAATAGCATTTGTGAATAACAAATGCAGACTTTTAACATGTCAGGGTGACTCTGGATTTTACACAGACGATACTCAGTGTTTTCTGGATTGTTCTTACTGTGTTCACGTTAGTCACCACTAGAGGGACTTCTAGGAACAGGAAAAAGCCAGAAAAACTTCATGAGTCCAAAAAGAAATAACTGTCCCAAACAACATTGTCCCTCAGCTCACTTCAAGTAATCAAGCATCAAAGTCTGAATGGGAAATGCTTTAAAAATGGAATGTTGTTCTCAGGCGATGCATGCTTTTCTTTCCCTTCAACTCTAGGCTATGCATAACGTATGACCAAAAGATGACAATTTCGACGCTTGTTTTTTCAATTATAAGCGCAATTACTTTTTTGGTATGGCTTTTGTATCTCAAAACTCAAATGTTTATTTATAGTCCTTTAAAAATGTTGATTTGATCAAGGAGTATTTAAGAAAGGCAATGCACTAGTTCTATACATCTCTTGGCAAGGTTGCAGAACTATTTCCCCATTTTATGCTTCAGATGTAGTTAATAATACAAAATGGAAGAAAAAAAATTTATTCCAGCTGCAAACTCTACAAATGATGCTATACCATACATTTTGGGGGGTACTTTTCATTTTTTATTTTACAATTCCTTCTGTACAATCCTATTGGGAGTCAGATTATAACTGCAAAATTCAATTTACTTAGCAATGACTAAAATTAAAAAAAAATACGTGTGTTATCATTCGCTTAATGCTAGCATATGTAGAGCTTTCGGCTAAATGTTACATAAAAATGACCACTAGTCCTAGATTTGAAATTAGGGAAAACTTTAAAGAAATCAGACTGAGGGTTTAAATAAAATAGAAATCCAAACTTTCTTTTGCTTTTTGATACTTTCTTCAGAGTCGCCATTATTAAAATTTAAAAATAAATAGGGGGATGATAAAATTTTTGCACTGATTATATAACATTATATTTACCTGGAATGTGAATTAATGACTCACACATATACAGGTTTTAGGTTTTATACCTGTGGCATGATCTAATTGGTGTGATTTAACCTATACTCTAATATAAGGCTTACATCATTCAATAAATGAATACATATTAAGCATCTACTAAGTGCCTGATCTATGCAAGGCATCGGCTATCAAGAGGAATACTTTAGTACTTAGAATACAGTACTTGTGGGAAAAATAAAATAAGCAGTCACCAATTTTTTTATGGAGACGTGTATAAACTATTTTCTATTACCAATTTTATGTCATATTTTAATAATGTAATCTATAATGTTCTTTACTGACTTTTATCTGCATTCACTGAATAAACAGCATATGAAAAGCTTGAAACTAAAACTTATATTTAGGAATTCCCTGGCGGTCCAGTGGTTAGGACTCTGTGCTTCCACTGCAGGGGACACAAGTTCGATCCCTGGTCAGGGAGCTAAGATCCTGCATGCTGCACGGTGCAGCCAAAAAACAAACAAACAAACAAAAAAACCCCTCATATTTAATAATCATTTAAAAATATCTTTTTAGTTGTTGTGGTAAGAAGACTAGCATAAAGTGCATGAAAGTTGGAAATCTCCTTTTCATTAAAAATAAAAATCTCTAAATAACTGCAAAATACTTCTTCCATACTATCCATTATTGCCGCAAGAACCTCGTAAGAGGGCATTTCCAGCACAAACGACATATAACATTTAGACCACAATATGATTGATTAATGTAAGGAACCACAGCACTGACCCCACGCCTTCAACAATGGCCAATTGCATACCTTCCACTAACAGGGGGCTATGGTTTTTGGTATTGAAGAAGAAAAAATAAAAAATGAGGGAGGATTTGACACTACACTAAATGATAAAAACATTTGGGAGAAATTATGAAATAATCTGCATAATAATTTTTTAAAGGGGAGGGTGATGGGAGAAGAATTGTCAGCGTTAAAAGAGGAAGGTTGGCATGTATGTAACTGAACGACAGAACATTTATGGCATTGTTTGTTACGGGGTCTTCCTCTGACACAAGAGCAGACATCAGAGAAAACAAAACTGGGCCGAGCTCTGTGCGAACACAGTATGTTTTCCAGTTACAGAAATCTCAACCATAAGATGGTCACTGAGTAAACCAGAGTTCTTACTTAGGGTAGAAAGAAAAGTCTGAGATTTGCACTGAAATGGAAAGTTTTCTTTACTTACTGGAAGACCAAGGGGTCCTCTGTCACCCTTTTGACCTGGTTCACCCTTCAATCCTTTAACACCATTTAACCCTGGTTCACCCTAAATGCAAAAGCAAATGCCGATTTTGGTTGCTATCATGGGCGTTTCAACTTCGAGAGAAGAGAGCCAGTCTCTGAAATGGTTGCAGATTCCAGTTTTAGGTAACAGCAGAGTCAGGCTAGATTTGTCTTGCATCAGTTCAAAAATAATCTAAAAAACTTTAAGAATTAACAAACTGAAATTGACAATTAAATAATATTCTAGGAAGCAGAACTCCTGAGAAAGTGTGCTCCTTACAAGCAAAATGTATATGTCTGAGCTTCGAATTTTTCAGTTTTACCTCAAGGAAATTGGTGTTATGCTACATTGTTCTGACCAAGTAAATCAAAGACAATCGGAGTGGAGGATACTGAAGGAGGCTGAGCAGGAAAGACTCACTCTGCTGGAATGGAAAACTGGAATATGCAGGACAGTGTTGTATATATGAATATTTTAAGCCTTTAAGCATTTTGCCCAGGGGAATGAGCTAAAAATGTAGCAACTGACTTTTGAAGTAATGCCATTTGGTGAATCCTCATTCACTGACATTGCAAGTCAGGTCCCTACAAGGATTAATCAATAGAACAGACAGCAAAGAGCCAATCCTAGGAGAGAATGTGAAGATCACAGAACTTACATGTGGCTTTACTAACTGTCTATCTGTCCAATCTCAGAATAAAGTAGGTTTGAATTTAACTTAAGGTGACAATACAAAAGCCATGATAAGTGATAAATTCTCTTGACTCTGTTCTTAAAAATCTAAGAATGTAATACACTATTTTCTCTCGGCAGCAGCAAGTTAGAAATAGAATTCTGACCTGTTCCCTTTTCAGCTTTTAAGTACAGATATTAATCTCATCAAGAAAATCTTGAAAGACTTGTGGAAGGAAGATGATTTCAGTTTTAAATGTCCTATAGAGTCCTGAGTGGTAGAGGTGGGAGAGGGGAGAGGTTATGCTTACATGGCAGGAGGGATTATTAATCTGGGCAGTATTTCCCCCGTTTGCTTGATGGTGCAAATCAGTGCAGTACTTGTTAAAGAGTCCAGGGCACCACCTGGACCATAGCAGCACAGGAATGGTATTTTTAATGTCTCCCAGGTGATTCTTCTCCTCAGGAAATTCGAGGAAACAGTGAGCTAGAGTCATCCACGGAACCATGCTATTTGACCTTTCAAAGGGGTCACAAAATAATAAACACATTGGCATGACCTAATGGAGTTCGGCAGCTCTGAGGAGAGGGAGTTTGTAATGCTGCCACTGTAGGAAAGCCAAATATTCTATGGTTGGTAAAGTGTGATCCTGGGGATGTCCCAGAGCTAGAGTCAATGTGAGATTAAAGCCAAGGCTCAGTAGTCAACTGCAGTTAACTGGTCTAAACTTGAGATTCAGGGCTTTGCATGTGTGGACTTTCATTCAGCAAGTGATTTAAGATGATGAATAGGCAGGGCAGCCTTGGTAGGCTAGGAAGTCCTTTGGTGAGGAATCATGCATTGATAGGAATGGGCGTTAACTGAGAAGGTAAGTTTAAACAATCAAATTCTGGGGCAAAAATTTCAAATTTCAACTCTGAACCTAAATTCTAGTCCCAGATCTGTCATTTAATTGGCACAGTAATTTAGAGCAAATAACCTAAATCTCCTGAGCCTATAGTTTATTATCTATAAAATCAAGGAACTAGCACAGGTAAGCTATGAGATGTTTTCAACTTTATAATTCTCTGAAATCTATGATTTAAATAACAACTGAAGTTAAGTGTAGGCAAAGTGAATCATTGCCCTGTGGATATCAGAAGGATCTTGGGCATCTATTAATGTAATGGTGATGGGGTAACTGAATCACTCATAGAATTAGAAACTCAATCTTGGTGGCTTTGGCCTGAGTCATTACAATTAATCTGGTCTTTAGTGGTACCTTAAAATCCAAACAGAAGTCAACAGAGGAAATATTATTTAGTCCAGTGTGGGGAAGGAGGCCCAAGAAGGCTAGATAAGTACCTAGACCACAGAGCTGATAGATAAGCTCTCTTTTGACCCCAACAAAAATGTTCTTACCCTAAACTATAATCCACGCCACCGAGACACTGTCAATCACTGGCCTTATCAGAAGGTAAGGCATTCTAAGAAGAATAAAGAGGCACAAACTCTTTCCTTTCTTGGGTGAGTCACCTGCTTCATCTCAAAAAGGAAACTCAGGTTTCTGGAGTCAGACCAATCCCTCTGCCACCCCTAAAGCTGGGGGGTCAGCGGGAGTGCTCAGAGGAGAGGGTGGGCCGCCTCTAGGCTTTCTGATCCTTAGTGCCAACACTGCATTTATGTGTCCCCTCACCCCCTCTCCATTTCAATGCATCAACTCACTACTGAGGAGGTTGCAAGAGTCATGGAACCTTTTCTCAAGCAGCCTTGAGGACTAGATAAATTCTTCTGTTCAGAACAAAGCATCCAAACACAAGATTACAATAACAACTGACGTTTATTGGGTGTTTATTAACAGCTGCACTGGATATTCTGCAAAGTGTTCTATAATCACACCTCATTAAATCATTACAACACTCTGAGGTAAGTTACCTAGTTGAGTAAATGAAGAATTAGAGAGGGTATATAATCTCCCCAAGGTGACAAGCCTGTCAGTGGCAAAGCTGAGATCAGAACATACGTCCTCATCACATATGCTCACTGAAAGAAGAAGCATGTCTTTCAGGGCTCATTTTAATCCTCCAAGGTGTCTTCTCGGTCTACACAAAGGCAAAGAATGCACCTTCATCCATCTTCACAATACAAACTGCAATAATTCTCCAGGGAAGGGATATTCTCCATTGTTCTCTTGTTAATTCAGAGTATAGAATACGTGTATGTGATGTAACCTTCTCCTCAGTATAGCATACTTGATATACCTCACCTCATTCTAGACTAGTGACCTCTGGGGGAGTACAAAATTAAGACGCTGGATAATTAAAGCATTTAGATGCAGTACTGCTTTATGACAAGCAAGAAGTATCAACTAATAACATCTGAATATACAACTAAAGATATCATACTAAGAAAGAGCATCTGGGCTAGTCTGAGAAATGTCATCAGATTCACTTTTTTTTTCCATTTAGAATGTTGATTTTGAGTATATTATGATTAGTAACTTAAGAAACTTACATAGTGACAAGGAAAAAGGCAAAATGAGGACTAATTCATCTCTAGGTGATATCACTTAAATTTGTTGTAAGTCATTCGCTGTTGTGAAATTTAAACATCTGGATACTTAAAGGCTTAAAGATTATCAACATTACTTGACAAATAAATAAGACAGGACAGACATGCTTCCGTCATGCTTCCCCACGATTAACAATGAAACAGCCATCAAATAATCAAGGGATTTGTTGGATTACCTTTGGTCCAGGAAGTCCATGGGGTCCCTGAAAATGGAAAACACAGCTTTTAATTAAGAATTGATTCACTTTTTCCCAGCAGAAGTGACTATTTACTATTATATAAAGTAACAAAAGAGATGTATAACAAGAATCTTTTTGTTTGAGCTATAGCTAGAGGCAGGCCAGCGGATGCTAATACCTAGTGAAAGTTCCTTCTAGCTCTTGGATTCCTCTGTAATAGGAAATTCATTAACAGCAATTCTTTCTGCTAAATACCTGTGAGAGGGAGGGGGGAATCTGCCAGGGTTATATGGAAGAAAAAAAAAAAAGTGTTTGTGGACCCACACTACTTCTCTTTCTCAAATCCCTATTTAAAAAAATCCAGGTGGAATATGTGAGATACCTTATGAGTTTAAAATTTGCTAAAACAATTTTGAACTTTAAGTACCAGTGAAGAGGAGACCTTTTCAATTACTGACTGCTCTAGACCCAAGGTTTTAAGAAATCTAAAGGAGCAAGAAAATGAGGAGATGACAGTCAAGTTTGGAACCCTGTCGCATTATTTCTTCAAGGCTAAGAAAAGGATTCTAGTACAGGAGTGCTAAACATTATTATTTAGAATGCATTCATTTTTACAAAGATGAATTATTCAAGGCTCTTGTAACAATTATTTACCAGTGGAAGGAAGTCACAACACGTTCATGAATCAGGGCTTTTCCCCTGTATTTTGTGGAAAATCTCAGTATAGAGACTAATTAGTCAACCTATATTAACTAAAGATTACTGTGGATTGCTTTAAACTTTCAAGTCATTTAAATGAACTATTTGGAGACAGGAGTATTTAAATACTCATCAGCAAAATCATACAACGGTAGGAAAAAGTTTTTGTTCTTTTTTTTAAGCAAGCAACACACAGATACTTGTTACATATGTCTACACTGGAATAATATTTTCCCTTTGGATATGTTACGGATAAACATTTTCAGGAAATGGCCATTTTATCAAGAATTCTTATTTCACTTTAGAAATGGTTTTAAATTCCTTTAAACTAATTACTTTTATGATATGAATGGATATAGCATTTTAAAATTTAATTTTCTAACTTAAAGTGGCGGGAGTATAAAAACGCCAGAAGTATGCCACTTGCTTGATTCTTAAAGCACTGTTTAGTTTTAAGAAAATCCGATTAATTATAATTGTTTTGTGGTACGAAATAGAAATGGCACTTAGTAAGAAATAGATGATTGGGTCTGGGGCTACGCTCTGTGGTTTAGGTCATTCCAATGATGTTCTTTCTTGGAGCACAACAGGAGGAAAGAGTGACCGACAGTTTATTTAATCTCTATGATTGAAGACATATGGTTTATCGGGACACTGTCGAGACAAATGTGACCTTAGAGACTGCCTGACTTGTCCCCAACCTATCCTAGTCAAAAGCATTTGAAGCATTCTGCCTTCTAGTTCTAGCCTTAACAAAACTGTCATTAGGTAGACATTTGGAGAATTATGCTGGTTTAATGGCTACCTTCCTCACCGAACATAAGTTCTATGAGGACACAGTCATTGCCTCCACTGGTCACTGAGGGATACTTGCAGTAAACACTGTATTTACAGAAGTATTTAAAAGTGAAAAGAAAAAGATCCAACAATATATATCATCTGTGGAAGTGATATAATTTTTATCATATTATTTTCTAAATGTTCTTATTGAACATTTCATTAAAGGGTCTCAATCCTCAAAGTTGGTTAGAAACATTCGTTAATGGCTACAATTATTAATCTTGTTATGCTATTAATGGCCTAGAACAGTGGTTGGTTAAAATGATTTTCCAATGTTCATACCCTAAGAGTGGAGTAAAGCTTGACAAATCTGTTTATTCAACTTTCCTATCACAAAACTACCCTATCTCTTTCCAACAGATGTGCCTGGGAGAGTGAAAGACAACACTTTTACAACCAGAAAAGCACCCCCTATTTTTTGTCCATTCCACAGAGAGTAGTACAACATAAAAGCTGGCTGTTTTGAGGGGTGTGTTCATGTTTCCTCTGGTAGCATGCTCTTAAACAAATGATTATATTTTGGAGAGAAGGGAAACTTACCATGGGGCCTGGTGGGCCATGGGGACCTGGTGGGCCTGGTGGGCCTATGATCTGCATGTCCGAAAAATAAACATGAATTTGGTTACTTCATTTAGATAAGGCAGTTAGGCTTGAATCTCATGCTGGGCTTCTGCTAAGGCCATTAATGGTTGCAGAGGAAGAAGGATACTGGAAGAAGTGATGCATTTGATTCTCTACATTTGGAAATTCCTTCGTGAGAATAAAAATACTTAAAAAAAATACAGTTGTTCTACAAAAGCCAGAATAAATCAAAAGTACATTAAAAGAAAAGGAAGCAACTGATTACCAAGAAATGCCATAATGCTACAACTACTGTTAAACTCTCAAATATTTCACTAAGCAACAACAGGGCTCTGGAGAAAAAAAGAATGTAGGTTCTACATTCACAGAGCTCTATCCAAAAGCATTGTGGGAAAACCATTGATTTTCTCCTGGGGATTAGATAGTCCTCTGAAAAATCACTTCTAACTCAGACCTCTGAGACACTTTTGTCTCTCGCTGTACAAGGCTGACAGATATTTCTTCTACAGTTTGACAGACCAAGAGGTTCATGGCCTTTCTACTGTTGATAAGCCATCTGGCACAGGTTGAAGTCGGTGAATAATTGGCCCATTTCAGAGTTTTTCGGGAACCATGGAAGTTCAGCCCCCATGGACTTACGGAAGGACCCTGAGGACCTGGCAATCCCGAGTCTCCTTTTTCTCCTTTCATTCCATTGGCACCCTACAAATAACCATAAAGAGTTGAGCTGGTCAAGTAAGGAACAGCTGAATTTTCTCCCCAAATCCATCATCCTCTTGAAATTTTTATAATATCATGCACATGATAATGTAAGAGAAGGATTTATCCCCTTGCATTTTAGTCTCAAGCTAAACAGCAAGCTTCCTCAAATCCCTGGGATTGTGCATGATATGTGAAATTAATGATAAAGTAAATGAAACTAAGTTATGCTTGATTGGTTAAACTTATACATTGCTAAATATATCCAATTATAACTGTTATATTTTTAATGGTGGTGCTGACTTTAAATAGCAGTCCTTTAACTTCATTTTCACTGACACTTATTTACACATTTCCTTGTTTTACAAAATGATCTAGGGCGGTGAGGTTTTCTATATTATTTTCCCTACATTTTTCTACATTTCCCTCTCCAAATTCTCAGTAAAAATTATGGGGGAAACCATAAAAACACCATCCCATAATACTGTAACATAAGGAGAACACTTCCAGAGTAATTTGTTTTTTAATTATTTTGTATTTTTTAGGTTTTTTTTATTGTTTATGTAAAAATGATCAGTTACATCCTACATTAATGACCAACTCTATTTATTTTACTATCTTCTAGTGAAAATAATTCAGGAAAGCATAAAGGTTTATTTTATAATTCATTTGGTTAGATGCTTTAAAATGTCTTCTAGAGCCTTAGTTGTAGTAATTAACCAAAAACACCTCAAATATTTAATAATAAAAATATTAAATGAACCATTAGATGAGACTGCAGCTAATAATACAACTATTTTCTGATTATTTAATTTATCTTAATATGAATACATCTTTAAAAATATAAACATACCGGTAATCCAGGAAGTCCAATTCCTCCTTTTTCACCTGGCATGCCTGGGTCCCCCATGTCTCCCTTTGAACCTTTGAGTCCCTACAAATGATATGGTTTGCACTTAAGAATCATACTGACCATGGATGGTTACATAATAGGGAAAATAGAATTCCAGATTACTTTTGCCAATAGATGGGCCTCAGGCTGAGATGATTCTGATTTTCATTTTTAGGTAGAGTTATCTCTTATAGCAAACTTCTACATTGAATCAATACTATTTCCTCTTGTAATGGAAGAGAATAAATTCTATTACTTAGGCCATTTAAGTATGAAAAGCAGGAATGTAAGTGTTGACATCATTTCTCCTGATTCCACATTTTTACCTGGCAGCTAATTTTATATCACCAGTCCTGAAAACAAATTAATGGGCTTAATGCACAATATACATTTTGAAGCAGGACCTAGTGTTATAGTAACAAAGGTCCAAATAAATTTTTCACATCTCCACTCATTATATCCCTCTATTCCTATTAAATGCAGGCAGAGGTTCCAATCACCAACAGTTTTCAATGGTCCCATCTACAGACAGGTAGATCATTCAGTATATACTAATGCTCAATTAATGCTTAGAAATACTTCCACTTTTCCAGTGTTATTATTTTGTTCTTGTGACATCTCTATGAGGTGATCGAAGATGTGATTTTTATTCTCTTTTTACAGTGAGGAAACAGATATATGTGTATTTTGAATGCAAAAAAATAGGAATTTTGTGATACTAATACTGAAATTAATGTATATCGTTAAGCATTTTCATCTAAGGAGGTTCACTGCAGTATGACCAGACGGCCCATCCTTCAGCAGAGATGATCATAGTTATTTTAGTTATGGTTATAGGGATCCCTGGTTGCACTAACCTGTTCATATTTTCTATACTAAAAACTACTTAAGTGGGCTTCCCTGGTGGTGCAGTGGTTGAGAGTCCGCCTGCCAATGCAGGGGACACGGGTTCGTGCTCCGGTCCGGGAAGATCCCACATGCCACGGAGCGGCTAGGCCCGTGAGCCATGGCCGCTAAGCCTGCGCGTCCGGGGCCTGTGCTCCGCAACGGGAGAGGCCACAACAGTGAGAGGCCCGCGTACCGCAAAAAAACAAAAAACAAAAACTACTTAAGGACAGGAACTTGTCTTTTCTTGTTACATATATCTGTTTCATAGCACCTACTTCAGAGTCACCCACTAGGTGGGTGGGTGGGTGGGTAGGTACCTAAATAGATAGATGGATCTTATAGTTAATCAGATCCTGGTTGGTTTCAGGAATCTAGTAAAAGAGAGCAGCAGGAGAGCCAACCCACTGGACCTAGTAGTAGAAGAAGACCTTGTGAAGCCTATAGAAAAAAAATTCAGCTATTGTATATGTAGGGATGACATACCATGTAGTATGTCATTATGTATGTCAAATCATTTATAATGACTAACTGGGGGAGGTAATACCATCAGATTTTTAAATGCTAATGTGATCTCTGATGGATATAGCAGATCATCTAAAGTCTCTTTTATAACTACCACATGTTAATTTAGTGTGATGTTATATGATTTCAATATACAACTCTGATATTAAAATAACCCTTCTCTTAATTTTCTTATCTAATACTATCTCCTGAGAAGGATATTTCACAAACTGTATCAAGAACGTCTTTGATTTCTTAAGATCTTCTTGATTTTAGCCATTTCTTAGGTAAATAATGGAAGCCCAGAAAACATCAAAAATCTTGAAACTCATCCTTGTGATTAGATTCTGAATTTTGAATACTGTCCACACTCTCCTAGTCAGATTCATTTCTACCAGGGGTTGGCAAACCATGGCTTACAGGCCAAATCCAGCCCAGGAATTGTTTTTGTACAGGCTGAATGTTTAAAACAAAATTTAAGTGGCATTCAAAAAATCTGATAGAGGATGTCTATGGCCTGAAAAGCCTAAAACATTTACTATCTGGTCCTTTATAGAAAATGTTTGTCAACCTCTGTTTTAGGGGAAACCCTCGGAGATACTGCCATATTCTACAAAGCTACAAGTGTCCTGCTTGTTTCTGTCTTTTCTAATGATCTAGAAAATTAGGTACAGTCTTTATTTGGGAAAAGACAACAATGTCAAAATCACACATGTAAGCAATATCTAATTTTGTGGAAACTACCGTCACAGCTTTAAATATTGAATTATTTGTATTCACTGACAAGAGTTAGGCAATTCTTACTAAACTGGTAATTATCTTACAAGTCTAATAAAAATTCACAGAGATGTCATTGGTAGATTGATAGGGATTATTAAGGCAAATCTAAAGCATCATATAACTTGTATGTTTGTACAAAGAAAACTAACACCTAATTTAAAACCAATTGCTTTTTAGAGTTAATGTAGTCTCTAGAACAGAAGGTAAGAAAAAAAAAGAGAATATCATAAATCAACACTCATGCCTTTTGGTCTTCAAACCTATAACAAAAGGTCATCAATAATGATGCTTTAAATGACAGTATATGTCTTTGAAAATTACCTGCTCTCCATCAACTCCTGGGACTCCTGGAGATCCTGGCTCTCCCTGTTAAGATAAAAATTGATGGCTAGCTTCTTATTTATTATTGGTAGCATACTACACTAAGTAAAAATGAGGCAAAAAATGATGCTAGTTGGTAACAGTACAATTTAACTTTCAGCAAATGCATCATAATTCAAGTACGTTATTACATCATACCACATGACTATACAAAGTGAAATAATGTTTTTTTTTCTCTTGGCCACACTGTGTGGCATGCAGGATCTTAGTTCCCCCACCAGGGATCGAACCCGGACCCCCTGCAGTGGAAGCCCAGAGGCTTAACCACTGGACCGCTGGGGAATTCCAAAATAACATTTTTTTTGAATATTATGTATAATAATACTTACATATCGCTAAGATTCAGTGTTTTTATTTTTTCCCCTCATGTGAGATTCAGACTATAAGAATTTGGCGAAAGAAAACTGAAATCATCTGATGGCTGACCATATCCTCCAGGAACAACCTATACGCCTCAATAATTAATTTTTTAATTAATTTAAAAATAATAGTTAATTTTTAACTATTAGTTTTTAAAATTAACTATTATTAATAATAGTTTTTAAAATTAACTATTAAAATAATAGTTAATTTTTTCCTCCTTAAAATTCTGTATGATTTCTCTTATTTTCCAATTTTAGAAAAAAGCAAAAACATGGTAGTTAACTCAAGAAAGAGTAAAATGAAAGGCCCCATATGTTTATAATATTTAACCTGGCATTGTTTGAACCGTGAATACAAATTCATAATGATTGGGAATGTGCTATTTCCAGATAAGCCTCACTGAAGGATATAATATATCAGATAATATCTTAATCCACAGAAAATTACTTTTGGATCAATTCAATTTCCTATACTATGCTAGGAACGAACTGAATTTACTATTCATATCGTGATTTATTAGAACCCTTGACAAACCCAAAATAGATGGATTTATTTTTTCTTAACTGAAGATGTTCCATTAAAGATAAATTTAAACAATGTGCTAGAGATTTATTCAAACAACAAATGTCCAGTTACTTTTCAATTGGAAAGGTACTGAACAAACAAATTCTTTGAAAGGCAAGATATCATTTTATATCAATGGGTCATTTATGTAGACCCCATTATAAATCTCTCTGATGCCCACACCTCGGAAACTTTGTAAAAACAATTCTTTGGAGTGTGTGAGTAGCCTGCCTCGCAGACAGATTTCCAAGGGAACTGACTTGAGGCTGTATTTTTCTAGAAAGGTTTGTTTGGTGATGTTATAAACCACAATATTGAAATGGTTAGAGTTGCTTTCCCTGGTTAGAACTTTAAGAGCTATTGGAAATCTGAGCCTTCCAAATGTTAAAGGAAGGCATGACAAACACATGAAAAAAAAAAAGAAAAAATCCTTTTTTAAAAAATTCCAGATTTCCTGCTCTTTGTGGTAGCGGCAACATTTATTTTGCCACCAACAAGTCTGTTAAGGTTGGATGCAACTGGCTAAGCCCTAGTTTCATGCAGTCTGAATACTTGTCAGCACGCTGGGGCCAGTAATGGTTGCTATGCTTTTCCCTTCAAAATGTGACCCACAAATGTTTAAAGGAAAATATAATTCATGAGTTATTCATTTATCCTGCACCCACCAAAAGTAGTTTGTAAAGAGTTGTTTGATGTATAAGAAGTCAAACAGTCCTTGTTTGATAAAGGAAGGAGGAATGCTAATTTGAATAGGTTCCCATTCAGTCTGAGGCTGTGCGTCCTGAGTGAGAATGGGTTTTATATTTGCCCCGTGCTGAATTTGCTGACTCCTGGTCATAGGCACAACTCCCCGCAATTATCCCAACCTTCTCAAGGGGAGATAATGGAAAGCATGAAGGACTGTATCAACTAAGCCAAGATCTCAATTACAAGATCATTGTGGCGTGTACGAGGTGGGCCAGAGTGCTGGCATAGTGGGAAGGGTGGCACGGTAAGAGGTAAGGGAGTATGACTAACAACCCTCCCCCACCCTACTTGTCTAGACATTCACTTGGCCAGTTTCTTCCTGCCTTTCAGTTTCAGCTCGAAGTCATCCTTGACCCCAAGGCAGAGAGGAGCCTTCCTGTACACATCTTAACCAATGTACTTACTCTGTTTATTAATAATTGTGCCTTTACTTGCCTTTCTCCATCCCTGGGCTAAAAGCTCCTTGTTAAAACCCCTTGCTGGGCTTCGCTGGTGGCGCAGTGGTTAAGAATCCGCCTGCCAATGCAGGGGACACGGGTTCGGGCCCTGGTCCGGGAAGATCCCACGTGCCGTGGAGCAACTAAGCCTGTGCACCACAACTACTGAGCCTGTGCTCTAGAGCCTGCGAGCCACAACTACTGGATCCCGTGCGCCTAGAGCCCGTGCTCCGCAACAAGAGAAGCCACCGCAATGAGAAGCCTGTGCACTGCAACGAAGAGTAGCCCCTGCACGCCGCAACTAAAGAAAGCCTGCGTGCAGTAACAATAGAACCAACGTAGCCAAAAATAAATAAATAAAATAAAACCCCTTGCTATATCCTAGTATCTTTACTAGATATCAGTATTTACCATGGAATAGAGGCCCCAAATTAATTGTTGATTAATGTAATTAGTGAATGAATAGCAATTGGATTATAAAACACAGGGGATGTAGGTTTTAATGATATAGCTTTCTTGGCTAGGTAGCTAGGTAGCTTTCTTTGGGTCAAGTGCTTTTGGGGCTTCTGTAGGCCTTTGGGCTATAAAGAAGAATCAAGTCCCAGAAGGTTTTGAGGTTTGTATGGAATAAGGTACATATTTAGCATTGAGGACAATTTTGCTTCTGGAGACTTAGTCAAGTGGGGGCATAAAGCAAGGAACTTAGATCTTGGTTGACTCTACACAGAGGAAAAAGGAATCTACAGATTTCCGTCTAGGTTTTCTAGTCCAGCTCACCAAGATACTAAAGAATAGGGATCCAGGCCAACTTGCTTACCAGGGATAAAGACTGCATATGGCTGGAGCATTTTTTGTGTTATATCTCTTAGGGAGCAGAATGTGGTGGAGAAATAGAAAATAAAAAATCCCCAAACTTACAGTAATGTTATACATGAAATCTGTTTGAAATTAGCATCTATGTTCTAAATATATCTCACATAGCCAAGGACCTCAGTAATATTTTACTGCATATTCCTTTTAATAATAGAAAAATAATTGTTTCTATGTGCTAGCTTTCAGTTTTTAAGTATCTTGAAAAAGTACAAAAGCTGATATGTGTGTGTGTGTGTGTGTGTGCATGTGTGTGTATGAGGTAGATTTAGCAAATAAACTGCCTAAAGGCATAAACAAAAGATGGATTTTGACACCACTTGAATCTCCTACAAGAAACCCAATGATGAAAGTCGTATTTCAACACGTGTAGCTCAGGTCTGAAAAGCCAGAATCGCTGGCCATGTATTAATTGATCAAACGTGGTTTAATAAGCTTAAGTTTGGAGGGAAAAAGCTAACATTACCAATAAATTTTAGATATAATCAAGTAATTGGGTTTCTACTGTTCATAGTTGGTATGTTCTATTAGATGAAATTTAAATGGAAGAACGTTTGAATATATATATATAGCAGGATGTGTTATAAAATGACTGAAAGTGATTCCTAAAATTGTCATTTGTGAATGCGTCATGCTGAAACTTTTCTTGTTCTTTTTATTATGAAAGGATTGAAAGAAAGGAACTTTTTTGGTGTCAGAGTAAATTTTCCTTCAATTTAAATATTTGCCTTTTTCCATACACCACATTTAGTGTTTCTTTACACTTACAATTTCTGTAAAACTTGTTTTTCCTTTGTTTAATATTCTGTTTTTCTGAATGTCCTCCTTCTAAATTTAATGCCATTTCTATTTCTCTCCCTTCTTTCCTAATTTTTCTTTTTTCTGATCCTTCTTCCTTCAGCCCAGACCTCAATTTCTGTTTTTGTTTTTTTTTTTTGCGGTACTTGGGCTTCTCATTGTTGTGGCCTCTCCCATTGCAGAGCACAAGCTCCAGATGCGCAGTCTCAGCGGCTATGGCTCACGGGCCCAGCCGCTCCGTGGCATGTGGGATCTTCCCGGACCGGGGCATGAACCCATGTGCCCTGCACCGGCAGGCGGACTCTCGACCACTGCGCCACCGGGGAAGCCCCAGACCTCAATTTCTATTCTCAGCTCTCTTAAGCAATATTGTTGATCTCAGCTCCTCCAGTATTTTGTAAGATTGATTTTCCGAGATACATATATTTAATATGGGATTCTCTGCACCATATGTAGTAAACGGAAACAAGTAAAATAAAGAATAACCTTTGGCCCTTGTAGTCCTTGAGGTCCAGGTGGTCCAGGGGGACCCTAAATCCAGAAAAGACAAAGTTTTAAAGTTTTAAAAGATAGTATCTGTAATAAATTGTATGCTTTAAATACTAAGTACGCTCCACACCTCCTTAATTTCTATCATAATCAAATATCCTCCAGTATTGATATGCAAAGAGGAAACATTTCACTGGTTACGGAATTATAAAATCTACCTACTTATATGCAGAAAAAAATCAACACATTTAGGTTAAAATAATGCTCTAGAGTTGATTTGTAAGACAATGTAAAATGGCTGCCATGTCCCACATACATCTTTTGGGGTTGAATTAACTTCCTAATATATCCTGTGTTTCTAGAAACACTTCTCTCCTCCCCCCCTCACAAAGGCTTTGATTTCCCAAACACTAAAGAACAAAGCCACATGGTTAAGATAAAGCCAAAGACTTTTAAGAAAAATATCAATAAAATTTTTTTTTGACTTTTTTATTAAGCAGACAAAGTGATTCAACTGGGGCAAATGTTGTAAAAGGTTACTACTATAAGAAAACATAACATTAAATATCAGATAACAACAACGGCTACATTAGTACTATTATGACCGGCATGCATCAACACCGAATACAAAGTCACAAACCACAGAAATCATGCAATAGGAGTTACCGTGACTGTTAAGGTGGTAATCCTCTGTTGGGAAAATGTATTGATAAAGACAGAGTTACCTAATTTGTGTGCCAAAGTACAGTAATACATTTCTGAAATAAGATTTTGAATATATTTTGGCAAGACTGATGTATAAGGAATTGACAAGATCCTGAAAACATATCTTATCTTCAAACGAATACCATAGCTTGTAAAAATTCTTTTTATTATGTTATTTAAAAATCTATGGATAAAGAAAACAGAAATGTCAACATTTTAATTCACTGATTTAAATTATGAAGTAAAATGGTGTACACTGGTGGCTTGTCAGTATAATTGGGAGCTGAGAAACTTTCCTATTCATAAAAACTCTATTTCTAGAGTACTTTGATTAGAGAAAACGGAAATATCTAATTGTATAAGTAATATTCTTTTCTTTTAGTTTGTATCTCATTTGGTGCCTTATAATTAGCTTGTGTGTGTCTGTGTGTTTGTGTGTGTCTGTGTGTGTGTGCCATGACTAAGACAAGAATTGACATGGGATTCGCCTTGTTTCTTAATGTAAAGGGCTTGAATACTGTACCAAAATATATTCTCTCAAAGTATGAATTTCTAAAACAAGGAATCCCCAATCCACAAACCATTTTTGTTTTAAGATTTTCTAGTCTAAGTGCTGTACAAAAAGTTCTGTAACACCTGTACCACTTTATGCGATTTTAGGGGAGAGAACATTTTCCATTAGGAGCTCTGGTCCTAGACAAACACTGTCCAATTACATGTAAACTTGTGACTATCGGTTTAACTCCATCTTTTTGTCTTCCACTGCTCCCTTCCAATTTCTAATTCAAGGTGTTGGTGCTGTTTTTTATTGTCGTTGTTGTAAAAAATAATCTTAACATCATCCACCCATCTCACTTCAAACACTTGAGTTTTTAGTGATATGGCGCATCATTCCTTAGAAAACAATACATTTATGCCCGTGTACAGATGGTTCAAGTTTGTATTCCAGGATAAGATCAATCACGGTCATTACAGCTTCAGAGAAGACAGGGTAGGAAAAAATAACCAGTGCTTCTAAGATAGAAGGCAAAATGGCCACAAACTGGGGCAAGGTTATAAAAAAGTTAAGGCCCAGATTTTTATACCATCATATCTATGTAACATAAGGTACCACTTATTTTATTCTTAAGGGATTCATCTAAACCAAGAGTTGAATTTACGGTTATGAGAAAGCTACTTCTTTGCTCCTATATGGGTAGATGAGTCATTTAAAAAAGGCTATTAGAAAAGTATAGAGTAGAAATAATTCCTTTATCATTACTTTCCAATTATAAATAACATTTTTAACTAGACAGCAAAAACATAAAACCTTGGAGAGGGAAGGAGTTTAAAATTTAAAGTCTCAGAGGTTTTCCAACCTGAGCCATGTATGATTCATTTTCCACCTAAGCACAAAACTAGCTTGTCTTTTTGAAAGTTCAAGGATAACAACATGTTTTAAAATGAGTTGCCTAAATAAAAGAACATTATTATTGGAAACTGAACTATAACAGAAGGGGTTTAAATAAGCTTGTTAAATAACTATATTTGTGAGACCTAAAAATTATACACAGCAGGTTCCACCCAGTTAACAGAAGAACAAATGATAGAAAACTAAGCTAACTACTCAAAAACATAGTTTTAACTGCCATCTTGAAGAACCAGTGTGCGGACACTCAGAGGCATCCTAAAGATGTTGGCTCACTTTGGATTTCTTGTATCTGGTTCCTCTAAGTTAAAACTACATAAACTCAGCAGGGTTCTCTGTTGAACTTCAGTAATGATTTGAAAGCCAGCATTTTTGGTAGTGATGGAGAAAGACATGTCATTCTCTACTGAGGCATGATGTGAAATGGGAGGCATGAGTTAAAGAAGCTGTAAATTGGTTGAAGGCTAGCAGGATGCTTTGTGATTTATTCTCTGAGATGCTTATGTGAATCTCTGTAGAATTAAAAATTATTTTCTTTCACGTCTCATAATGATGCAAGCTTAAAATCACCCCTGATTTACACTAGAGAAGAGGTTTAGTTTATATGGTGTTGAGAAATTTTAAAAGCTTGAGGTAGGAAATGAAAGGTTTTACTGCTAATTGTGGAAACATAACCACCTTAAATAAAAATCAAAATAAACGGCTTATGACAAATGCTCATGTAAATACGGGCATACCTCAGATATTGCGGGTTAGGGTTTCAGACCACCGAAATAAAGTGAATGTCGTAATAAAGCAAGTCACACAAATTTTGGTTTCCCAGTGCATATAAAAGTTTTGTTTAAACTGTACTGTAGTCTACTAAGTGTGCAATAGCATTATGTCTAAAGAAAGTGTATATACCCTAATCGAAAAATACTTTATTGCTCAAGGATATATTGTACAACACAGGGAATATAGCCAATATTTTATAATAACTATAAATGAAGTATAACCTTTAAAAACAGTAAATCACTTTATGTATTGCTCACCTGGAACTTACATAATATTGTACATCAACTACACTTCAACAAAAAAAACTTTATTGCTAAAAAAATGCTAACCATCATCTGAGCCTTCAGAGAGTCATAGTCTTTTTGCAATAGTAACATCAAAGATCGCTGATCACAGGGAATTCCCTGGTGGTCCAGTGGTTAGGACTCAGCCCTTTCACTGCCATGGGCCCAGGTTTGATTCCCGGTTGGGGAACTAAGATCCTGCAAGCCATGCGGCACAGCCAGGAAAAAAAAAAAAAGATCACAGATCACCATAACAAATATAATCAAAATTAACAAATTTGAAATGTTGTGAGAATTACCAAAATGTGGCAGAGAGACATGAAGTGAGCAAATGCGGTTGGAAAAGTGGAACCAATAGACTTGCTTGGCACAGGGTTGCCATTTGTAAAAAACTGCAGTATCTTCAAATTGCAATAAAGTGAAGTGCAATAAAAGGAGGTATACCTGTAACAATTTTCAGTAGAGGCAACAGTAAAATTTTATATTTCTAAGTGATATTTTTATAATTGTAATATGCACTTATTTATCTAAGTATCCAGATTTTGGGGCAGATCTTTTCTAGAGGAGGCAATACTGAAATGGAATTCGCAAAACTGAATATCCATCACTGGTTAGAGAACTAGAAGAATAAATGTCTATTCCTTCCTCTCAATCTAATGGCTATTTAGTTTAATTTATTTATTAGGGACTCTTAATTCACTAGAGTACTATATTGGAAAAACAAACAGTTTTGAAGTGAAAAAAACCACTATAAGCTATTTACAAGCACAACACGTAGTTGCCTAAACAACCCCCTAAGAATAATAAATCTTTAGGTTGAGGTATAAACATGAACTAGTTGGCTGTGAAGGATATTGACTGGTTTACAGTCATATAGAACTCGAGGTGAAAAAAGAACCTGAGCACATCTATTCTTTCATATCAAGATGTAGGTGTTAGATTTTTTAAAAAAGTACAGTGCGTTTTGGCACATCAACAAAGGGTATTCAGGAGCTCCTAAAAAAATAACCCTAAGCATAATATTAGATTTTATGGACTCTTAGAAAAAATCCATTCCAAATCATCGTCATTTTACAGATCAGATCGATGAAATATAGATACGTTATGTGATTTCCCCAAAGTGACTCAGCTAGTTAGCAACAGAGGGGAAATCAAAGCAGATTTCAGTTTTAGAGTGAGGGTAGCTTGCTTCATGCCAGGCTCTGTTCATGTAAAGGTTTTAAAACTCTTCCACAGTCTTTCCAGAAAATGGCCATGGCCAATAACATAGAAGCATATCTTGAAAGATAAGAGAGTGGATACCTCTTAAAGGCAGTAGTAAGAATTAGGGTGCCACTGGAAGCAGTTTAAGGGAAATTTACAATTTTGCTAATAAAGTTGAAAAATGTGACCCTATATTTCAGAAGGAAGAGCTCTGACCACATAGTAAGTAACAAAAACTTCCTGTTCTTTCTCTTTCTTTATACACGCAGTTATCAACTTGTGGGAAAAAGGGAACAATTTAGAAAACTGATTCTAGAATTTGACAATAGCCCAGAGGCTACTGCTTGAGTCTAGTCCACTTGCACTGAGGAACCCTAATTCAAGCTGTTGACCGAACACACTGCCCAAGTAATGTTTCTCTAAGCAGTAAGCATGTGTCTCTATGTGCTTTACCAGAAGAAAAAGAATAAAAAGAACAGAAAAATACAAGGCTGAAGATAGATTCTGTAAAAACTATTTAATAAATGCTTTACTATTTAAAAATGATAGTTGTAACAAAGGACCATTGAAATGTAGATCTACCATAATTAGATAATGTTAGTGAAATCATATGGGTTGAAAAAAAATCAAACAAGTACAAAATGGAAAATATTTAAAACAACTAATTTGGCTTTCAAGCAAAAAAAAGGATTGTGCATATGAATGAAGTATACTTACGAATTCAACCAATAAGTTTATTTAATATTTACATGCCTAGACCTGGGTCAGGCACATTGGGGGAGATAAAATAAGCATAAGATGAGTTTCCTGTCAACAAGTAATTTACAATCTGGTAAGAGGCAAAACTAAAGTAAATTATGGAATCTGAGAATAATTAAATGTTAAACTACTGGGTCCTGACTGCTAATATTTAAAAGGATTCAGAGGAGAAATTCACCTGGGTGGCAGCAGTGAATTGTTGGATAGGATTTAGATGGATGAATGAAAGAAAAGGGATGAACCAGGAAAAAAGATGGCTATTTTTATAGATATGATAAATATGTTGTGGGGAAATAAAACATTCTGTACAGGAAAGGCAGGGTTATAGGGCCTTAAAAGTCAGATGGAGGAGTTTGGGCTTGATAGAGTAGGCAAGAGGGTCACTTAGGTTTCCGAACAGATTAGAGTCATCAAAGTAGTGATAGTTTAGGAAAATTAACCTTGGAGTGATCTATAGGAAAAGATTAGAAGAGCAAGGAGGTACTGGGGTAGAGGAATTGGTTAAGGGCTCATTGCAGTGTTAGATCTGATATAAACAACATGTAGACCTAGCCGGGAACGGAGAGAGTGGGGCAGCCTCAAGAGATACTTTGAAAAGGAAACAGTAGCTTCTGGTGAGATATAAAAGATGAAGGACAAAGATAGTTTTAAAATGACACTAAAGTTTCCATCTCAAGAAATTAGAAAACTTGTGGTTTCGTTAACAGAAACTGGTTAGTTAGGAAAGGGAATCATTTGGTAGGTGTGAAAGGTAACCAGTATAATTGTATGTATTGGTGAAAGTTGACAAGGCAGTGTTGCATCCACAGTGGAAATATTCCTGGGAAGCTAGAGGTATATGCAGATCAGACCTGGAGGTGAAAGATTTGGAAGGCATAATGGGAAAGAACACAAAGGGAGTGATTATACCAAGAAAAGATCAGAGACTTGAGAATACCCAGAATTAGGGGGTGGACAGAGAAATTGGAAATACTAAAATAGAGTGGATCCATCCAAGAAGAAAACTGGAAGAAATGAGAGTAGAAGGTTGGCGAAACCAGAAAGAAAGAGTTTCAAAAGGAAGGCGGTTTAGTGTAATGTCACGTAAAAGTCAAGAGCGATGAGTACAATGGCCTTGACCTAGAGGTTACTGTTGACCTTTATAAGAGAAATTTCAACAAAATAATGGTACAAGCTACAACGCGGAGTCTAAGTATGAAGAGGATAAATAGGAAGCAAAGGTGATGGAGACAAGCCACACAGTCTATGGCCTTTCGTTAACAGAAGAAAAAGAATTGAACAGGAGCGGTAGCAAGAAATACCTATAAAAGACTTATTGTGTGCTAGGCACTGTTCTAAGTGTATAATATGTACTTAGTCATCTACTCACGACAACCCTAGCTCATGCACTGAGTAAGCAAGAGATGTGAACCCAGGCAGCTCAAACTCCAGAGCCACAGGGCTCTTAATGGCTTTGCTAGGTTCGCGTATCAAGCAAGGAGACAAAGCTTGGCAAAACCAGTACAAGATTTAAGATGAGACTGACTAAAGCACATGTGAAGGTAGAAGGGAAAGAGAAGGAAAGATTGAAAAATGCTAGGAAATAAAGAGGATAAACTGGAGCAGGGAGAAGATGGGTTCAGGAGATCAGGGAGAAGGTGTGCTTTGAGCGGTGGAGCCCTCTGAGATCTGGGGGGGGGTGGAAGCTGAGGGTTACACACATCACAAGGGTCTCATCAGTGTCACTGTATCAGCGTCTGTATCAAGGCAGGGAGCCGTCACTTGCCTGCAAGGCTTCGTGGAGGTTGCCGTTGTAGTCTATGATCTCGGTGGCTCCTTGATCTCCCTTTTGACCAGGTGGACCCTATGAAAAAATCAGCCAAGAGAACATCACGGGGGTTAGGCTAGGATGAAGAAGGGACTGTGGCGAAAACAGAAATAGCAGCAAACAGCTCTCTCTGACCATCGATTCCCGAGTAAGGCCCAAATGTACTTTAGAATAAATAATCATGTTCAAAGTTTGTCCTTATTTCAGAGGAGGCAAACTGCTTCTAACTTCCTGTCTGTGGTAGGTTAAATATATTAAATTGGATAAAAAAGAAATACAATTCAATCTCAAAAGCTGTTTCCTAAAATTTATAATGTGTAGGCTAATCTGATTTGACGTGCAAAATTTTGTTGGCTTTATCCATATTTATTAAAGCAACTCCTGACCTCTCTCTCCTCATCTACACCTCATAGATTGCTTCTTCATTTTTTAAGAAGATGGAACACTGTACTGTAGGAAATGCTTGGCTTTCCTAACAGGAATAGAATTCCATTAAAATGGAAGCAAATAGGGAACAAATATATATATATATATATATATATATTTGAACAGTACCTATAAGGAGGGAACAAATATTTTTAAGATGTCTATCCTACTCAGTAGCTCTGCCACTGAATTTCCATTAGTCATGTCCTAATTCCCTGCCTGTGCTTTAAAAAGGTTCTGAAAATATGGACTATTGCTTTCTTTTTAATTGAGTTAATTGAAAAGTGGAAAGTTCTATTAGGTGGATGGCTATGGGCTTGCTATTGCTCATTTGGCAGAGGGGAAGTAGATAGAAAGAGTTCTTTAGACCTTCTCCTTATGGGCTTATCTTACGTGTTCCAGTCTATATACTCAGTGCTCCTGGTGACTACAATAAAAAATAAGAAGAAAGGGGGGGAGTAGCAGGAATAGTCACAGTAGTCTACGTCCAGCGCTATTGTTGGGTATTATTAGTCCAAGTGCCTTGTGAAAAGCCACATAGACACACACTTCAAATCTAGGCTTGTTGGAGGCCAAAAGAGTAGATGAGACACACTCACCCTTGGTCCCAGGGCTCCAGAGTCCCCTTTGTCTCCACGGTCACCCTTTCCCCAGTGAAAAGAGAAGAAAACCGAGTTAGTAGTGAGGCCAACAGTCCAGAAATATCTCAAATCTAAGGATGTATTTAACACCATACAGCAACACTTTTAATATGAACTTCTGAAGTGGAAAATAACAACTAGAAATACAATAACCACTGACATGGCAAATCCTTCTTTAAGATGCCCCCCGAAGTGAATTAAACTTCCCCCTTCAGATGACAGAGTATTTTGAAACAACAATACATATGGTAACTTGCTTCCTAGGGATCTTGAAAAGCAAAGCAGGTGGTTTCTATGACACCCAAAGCAAGATTTTACCTCTCAGACTGAGCTATGTTCCTGCCTGTATATGAAGAGATTTGGGGCAAGGGGGAAAAGAGGCAACCAATTAATTGGGTTGTCTGTTTTCTGAGAAGTCATTCTAGGGAGATTTAGGAGGGAAAGGTCACCAGCTGGACCTCCCTCTGATGATGAAGATCTAAGGAAAAGTTTTCTAGAGGTATAGGTCTCTTAGCCCTCAGAAAGTGCTGAAGTGGACAGCAGCTAGCTGGACCAGGTTGGCGGGGCTGAAGGTCAAGATCTGGGCAAACACAGCTTTCTCTTTTTTTCAATGCAACATGAAAAGTCTCTAAATGTCCATTTATGGTGTGATGACTACCTCCCATCCCCGCCAAGAGACACCAGGAATCATCTAAACCTCAAACTGCAAATGCATCACTGAGAACACTCAAAATTTTCAGAAGTCTAAACAGAAATTTTGGAGAAGAGATTTGAACCTGGGTAGATTTGAAGTTTCTTTAAAATAGCCTAAAATTTACAGGGCCCTTTTCCTAAATAGAATTCAAAGCATTTCTATATGTCTTTCTTATAAACTGGATAAGGACCAATGAAGATGAGCAGGAAAAGGGATTATAATTTATATTATATAATTATATTATATAATTATATTATATATTATATATTTTAATTTATTTTATTTTAATTTATATATTTTATTTTATATTTATTTATTTATATATATATTATAAATTATATATATATAAATATAAAATAAATAAAAATATAAATATATTTATATATTTATTTAATTTATATATTTTAATTTAATAATTATATTATATAATTATATTATAATTATATATATATAATTATAATTTTTCTATCCACATTATGCTAATAACATTGACCATAATAATAAAATTTTGCTATGAATGGGGAATTATTAATTTCTGCTGTTTTCCACATTTTTATTTATTTTCCACATTATTAGCATGATTAATAACATGATTCTGCTAGTAGTATATAGATTATTGCAGGTACTATATAAAGAGCATGATAAAGGAGAGAATTTCAATTAGTGGTGAAATTTTAATGGAATGAAGGGAGTCAACTGACTTGAAAGCAAAGTATAATCTGAACATTTATCACAAAGATAGCCAGGAAATAAAAAATAAGGTTATACTGTATATAATTTAAGTAAAGTACTTAATTTTTTCCAAATAAGCTATACATATGAAACAGGAAATACAATTTCTCATAAAGAATGGTCTGAAGTACAGAACACAAAAACAAACAAGATGAAACAAACCAACTGTTCTGAGATATCATCATAGGGATGAAATTACTGCAACCCCAGTGTGTGAAAGAGTTTAATCTAAAACATGATTCTCTGTGGAAGAGACACATGTTACATGACGGCCTCATGTTACATTAAAATGGTTACCCAGTTACTGACCTTAGACCCCTTTGGGCCTCTAGTTCCTGATTCACCTTGTTTCCCCTATTACAGAAGAATATGAAGATGAAAAAGAGAACATGACAGAGGGAGATAAGAACAGAAAAAAAAGAAATTAGCAGTGACTCAGAATAATACAGAAAAATGGAAACACTTTATTTTAACTGCCTCAATATATGACTCCATATGATGTAGGCTGTTACAACCCTGAACATAGGTATTATCACCGTATCATTAGTTCACTCCCTGGTCTCTCCACCAACCTTCATGCCATTATAATTCTGAAGACTGCCCACCCATCAGCGGATGGGAAGAGTTCTGTGACTAATTCTCATTAGTCTCAACAGTGTTTGCATAAATTTCCTTTTCATCAAAGAGTAAATCATTTCCTGTGTCTCTAGGATGGGTTATTAAAATAAAGTGTCACCATACTAGTTTTCAGGAAGTTTAGAGGAATAGATTGAACAGTCAAATAAATCCTTAGCTCTCATACTTTCAAGGTGTTACACACCATCAAATTACCATAGAAACTAACACAACACGGTTCCACATTTTCCTCAGTAGGTTTTAATATACATCGAGTGGTAAGGTGTTAGTGTGACAGTACCTCCCGATTTATATTTGGATGTGTTATTAATTTGTTGACTGAACAGAACAAACTGGAAAAGTTGAATTGTAAAACCCTTTTTAGAAAATAACGAACTGGTGTGAATTTCAATGAATTATTTGTGATTTTGGCTGTTTTAATACCCCTTGAATAATTTTATTTCAGTTGCATGTTCTAAAGTAAGTGGCACACATTTCCAAACCAGAGAATGTTGTTTTCCAGTGTGAGAATAACTGACCTTTGGTCCAGGGGCTCCAGGCTCCCCTCGATCCCCTCTTCCAGGATGCCCTGCCTCCCCACGGTCGCCCTGTCACAAATCGCAAAATAGGTAAATGGCGCCCCCTATCACCCCCAGCTAGTCCCTGTAGGTTAATGAATGAGTTGAATAAAATCAAAGAAAGCAGAAAGTTACTACTTATTTACCACATACTCGGCATTGTATTAACCTCAACATGGATTATCTCATTTAATAATCAAAATAGTTATTCAGGGCTTCCCTGGTGGCGCAGTGGTTGAGAGTCCGCCTGCCGATGCAGGGCACACGGGTTCGGGCCCCGGTCCGGGAAGACCCCACATGCCGCGGAGCGGCTGGGCCCGTGAGCCATGGCCGCTGGGCCTGCGCGTCCGGAGCCTGTGCTCCGCAACGGGAGAGGCCACAGCAGTGAGAGGCCCATGTACCGCAAAAAAAAAAAAAAAAAAAAAAAATTCAACGTTTACATTTTCATTCCCGTTTTATAGACAAGGAAATGGTTTGGTAAATGCCTGTCAGATGCCTATGTTGGTAAATGGAAAGACTTTTTTTTTTTTTTTTTGGCCGCGCCCTATGTGGGATCATAGTTCCCTGACCAGGGATCGAACCAGTGCTCCCTGCACTGGAAGCTCGGAGTCTTAACCACTGGACTGCTAGGGAAGTCCCAGAAAGACCTTTAAAGGGAATTGATAAGGGCCATCATTAATACCTCACAACAGGCATGGACATAGTTTTCAGTCTGCAGCAAATTTTTAAGATCTTCCGAAGCAGGGCAAAATGGCTAAGTGCCAAGTTTTGTAATTTGATTTTCTGGGCTTTACTCCTGGCTCTGGAATACTTACCAGTTTTGTGTTTTGGGGAAAGTTAGTTAAGTTCTGAAAGCCTCAGTTTCCTCTGTAAAATGGAGAAAATTAGAGTACTGGTTTCATAACCTAGAAATGGAAAGTGCTTGGCATTGTACAAGATCCATAGGTGTTACAGCTTTTACTAGATTTATAGCTCTGGGAAGGATGAGCATGGTCACTGCCCACAGGGAGCTAGCGCTCTAGTTAGATAAGATCCACATGAACAAAATAGTTAAGAGTTAAGGAGTAATGTAAGGCCATATGTGAGAGAAGAAGAAACTCCACAGGGTTTTCAATGGTCCAGATTGACTTCCTTTTGGTGAGACTTGGGTCATATCCTGAAGGATGAGGTAGGGTGTATATTATAATTTTCACTGTTTATAACTGTGCTATTGATGAGTGCAGGAACTGCACACAACACTTTACATGCATTATCCTATCTAATCCCCAGGACAAATGAGAAAGGTGTTAGTATCCATAGTCTACAGATGAGGAAACTGAAGCTCAGAGAGGTTAAATAACTTGCCCAAAGCCTTTAACGTGGGAGAGCTGTGATATAGAACTGACTGTAGTCAGTCTTCAATTTTTGCATACACGTTTTTGTATGTAAATCTTTTGCACATCTCTGGTCATATTCTTAGGATAAATTCCTACTAGACAAATGGCTGTGTCAAAAAGTATAAACATTTTAAAAGCTAGCTAATCGCCCTTCAGGAAGATGGTGCTGTTTTACACTCCCTGAACACAGACTTGAGAGCGTTCAGCTTCCTGCACGATGGGTAGAATTTCAATAATCAAACAAGTTTTGATTTCTGGTGATGATATGTTTATGGATGAGGGAGGCACCCTTCTCACTGAAGGACTGATTCGTCTTGGAAAGGAAAAGAAAGTAGGATTTCGATCTGTTATGGGTGATGTAGGGATTTAAATTCCAAGATCTTTGTCTGTATCATGCCCACTGTGGGAAACCTTTGTGGTTTTGCAGGGGAGGTGGGATAGATTAGGGCCAGGATGAAGAAGACTCAGTAGGTTTCTCAGCATGAACCAAAAGGGAGTGGGACAATGGAGAGGTTGGGAGAAAGACAAGGGACTTGATTGGATGCAGGAGATGGTAAAGGTGCTCCAGAAGGGATTTTCCAGGGATTAGAGACTGAAGCACTTTTGCTGGTATATGGAATTTTTATTTAAATATGTATATACCATGTTTGGTGTTGCTCTTAATATTTTACAGAAGAATTCTAAAATGGTAACTATAATCTTATTTTAGAGAAAAACAAAAATTTTAGAAAATCATTTCTCTGTAGTATTTACCAGAGTAGTGGCGTCCATATATGTTTACCTAGAATCACTTATTATCATCATGCCTCAATCAGTTGCTTATTAGTCTCTCTCTAGAATTACATTACATATTTGTGTACTTTTTTCTTTTCTTCCACCCCTTTCTTACACATATTACAGTGGAAGCTTCAGTAGAGCAGAGACTGTTTTTGTTGCATTTATTCCCCATTCTCAAATACTAGAAAAATGTCTGGAAAAAAATGTGTTGAATTAATGACTAAACAATATTATACAAAGTATTCTAAATTATTCATAATAAAGTCCTATTTCTTTAGACTGATGGAGGTTTCTCTCAGGCGCTATACAGATGCTGAGAATACAGCAGTACATAAAACAGATTTTTAGATGCCGTTATACGTATTTCTTCATTATGATCTCTCTTCACTGTGTTGGGGATAAAATATGAGGACTTAGTTTATTTTTAAAATCTGAATTTACTGGTACAAATCCAGACTGCCTACGCAACCGGTAAAAGACTAGTGTTTGGCTGAAAGAGATGTTTAAATAATCATGACTTTTCCATTATGATACCAATTTCATGTTAGATAGGTAATTCAGCTGAAAATTAACTCCAGAATATTGTTAAATGAATTTCTTATTCACATCCCTCTTGTGGAAATACAAAACAGTTACAGTACAGTCTTTACTTTTATTGGGAGTTCAGAGTAGTATCTGTTATAAAAGTATCTGTTCTGTAAAATCAGGCTGGGTTCTTCATGAACAGTAATTAATGTTGATTTTACGGCTCTACATCTGGATTTTTTGACTGTGGAAGAGTTTAAAATAAGTGAACAAAAGAAAATATATTTACGGATGAACTCTACACTCCACAGTCTGTGTTTCTCCTATTTTCCCTTGTTTAGCAAACAAAATGCCACAAACATTTAGAGATCATGTTCACGCCTGGTCCTTTCCAGCACTGACCAGGTTTCCCATTTCTTTGTGCTTATCCACAAAGCAATCCTCTTTCTCTACCTGGTTCTGAGGCTGCAAGCCTGAATAAATACGAGAGTTCTGACATGAACACAGAATGCTCATTATTCTTTTGTTCTAGCTCTTTTTATTCCAGAAAGTGCATTTCGTGTGTAAATCTGTTCTGGGTAAAACAGGCTTTCCTCATATTTTGTTAATAAGCTTGACAGCTCATTATGTGAAAAAGAAATTGCTGACCAAACAGCAATTTTACATAAATTCGACAGAGTTTTAGTCTCCCTTTAGGCCACACATAGTTTCCATATACTAGGATTAGAGTTATTTTCTCTTGACCAGCGGAATGAGGACTCCTCTGTCAGAACAAGCCATGAACATATTTCTCGAGCTCTTGGAAATCATCCTGGCTTATTTCTGGTGAATGCAATACACATTGAGGCAAAACTGCTATGGTTTAAAAATAAAAGAAAGTAGTTTGATCTAATTTTGCTCCTTCTTTGATTCATGAGTCTGTCATGAATAAAGTTCCATCCTCAGAGCTGTACCTTTTTATGTCTTACTGGGTAGATAAAAAGGGAACTATGGTTCTGACTGTATCCACAGCAACATAGTTTTTTATATGGCAGCATACAGATTTTGCTTTTAGGGCCCTCTCTCAGGTTGCCAAGTGGAAGATCACGAGATGGTTTTCATTACAGAATCTTTCTGCAGACGTTATTCAGGATGGATCCTTTTGGGATGAGACACTTAGGAATCTATATGACGTCAGTACTTGCCTTTGCAATCTAGGGAGTGATGGGGGAATAGTAATAATGTTTGATTTATGCGTATGTCTTAAAATGGGTAACGAGGGGCAGGAGTTAATGAGTTCTACCTCTCCTCCTCAGAATTCCCTCACTTTTCCATATGGCCAGGAGACTAATAGCATCATATCAATTTAGGTACAATTTGGGGGACAACTGGAACAATGAATGTATTCCACCATCCTGTTGTTTTGCATAAGGCTTTCTGGAATTAACTTCCTATTATTCTATTTAACATGATATTCCCATTAGAAGTGTTAGGAATAGGTGCTAAGCTGCTTTAGTTCTCCATTAGGCAAAAATATCTGGTCACCTAAGTAACATAATGGACTAAAAATATATGACCAAACATTTCAGAAAGGAAGGAAGGGAAAAACACTACGTTTACCTTTGTTCCTGGTAACCCTGGTAAGCCTGGTTCTCCTTGAGGACCAATGAAACCTGGTTCTCCCTTTAAAAAAATGGGCATACGAGATTATTACATATTTGACAGTAAATATGTAAAGTTAAACTGATTTCCTTCTACTGGGATTTCACTCCTTTGATTATATATAGCTTTCTTGCTGAGATCCAGCTACTAACTATAAAATTAATCAGAACTGGTTTTGATCAGCCACAGTACTTTGAGCAAAGCTTTGGAGGAGCTTGAGAAAGTAAAAGTGACAAAGAAACCAGACAAATGTCTTTACAATTTCCTTTCTCATCTGTTGTCCAGTGCTTCCTAACATCTACCAAATCAAGATCCATTATGTTAGGGTGGATGTGGTAGGTAGCCTCTAAGATGGGCCTCAATGATCCCACCTCCTGGTATTCAATGCCTTTGCGTAATCCCTCTGCTTGAGTGTGCACTGGATTTACTGACTCATATCTAATTAACAGAATATGGCAGAAGTAATGGGATATCACTTCTGAGACTAAGTTATAAAAAGACAGTGGCTTCCATCCCGGGGACTCTTCCTTGTTCTCTCTCACTTGAATCAACTTGCTTTCTGGAAAACAAGCTGCCATGAGCAGCCCTATGGAGAGGTCCCCATGGTGAGGACCAAGGTCTGCCAAGAGCCGCATGTGTGAACTTGGGAGCAGATGCTCCACCCCAGTAGAGTCTTCAGATGAGATCACAGCCCTGGCTGACAGCTGGACTGCATCCTCATGGGAGACATTGAGACAGAGGTACCCAGCTGAGCCATGCTCAAATTCTTGTTCCTCCAGAAGCGTGAGAGGATTGTTGTTTTAAGCCACTCCCATTTCGGGGGCTTGTACGGTAGACAGCAACTGATAACTGATACAGCGGGTGTGGCTAGGGAAGAGAGTCAGTAATGTTCAGATGGAGAGCAAAAAATCTCTTCTTGCCCAGCCTCAAAATCTCTTCTCTACCATCTGGAGGAAACCCAGTTGTGGTATAATAAAAAATATATATTTGGTCTTGTTCCTGGTTCCTAAAACCTTTGGAATTTCCTGAGTAATAAGAGTAACAGGAGCATGTTTTGTTACTCTTAACGAGCCCCTTTCAAACATATCTGAGTTTATGCTAATGGGGTGACTATGGTGGGCTCCTAGACAGCTTCAGGGTCGGGGCTGTGATAAGAAGGTTGGAACTTTCAACCTTTCCCCTCCTCTCACCACCTCCAGAGAGGGAGATGGAGATTGAGTTTAACCACCAATGACCAATGCTTTAATCAATCACGCCTACATAATGGAACTTTCATAAAACTTCCAAAGCCGTGGGGACTAGAGAGCTTCTGAGCTGATGAACACTTCCATGTGCTGGTAGGGTGGCGCCCCCCCAACTCCACGGGGACAGAGGCTCCTGCCCTCAGGACACTTTTGACTTCACCCTTTGTACCTCTCCATTTGACTGCTCATTTTAATCTTTCATAACAAACTGTAATGGTAAGTATGGTATTTTCCTGAGTTCTGTGAGTCACTGTAGCAAATTATCAAACTTGAGTGGGAGTGGCAGAGGGTGGCTGTGAGTACCCTGGAATCTGTAGCCAAGTCAGACATAAGTCCAGGTAAGGGGGAGAGGGTGAGGTGGGTGGTACCTGTAACTGTGGTCTGAAGCGAGGGCAGTCTTATGGGACTGAACCCTTAAACCTACGGAATCTGATGCTAACCCTGAGTAGTTAGTGTCACAACAGGATTGAATTGTAGGACATGCAGTTGGTGTCAGAGAATCAGAGTTGGAGAACTGGTGTTGGAAAAGACACCAGGTGTTTGGCATCAGAAAACACCCGACACCAGTGTTCACATATAAACTATAAAGTTTTATTTTCTTCTTAACAACGTGAGCTCAAATGTGAAAGTCTAACTTCCTGAAATCTATAACGAAGTTTTAAAGCAAAGAAAAACAAAACAAAAACATAATGCCTCTGTTCCCATGTTTTCTGGGATTTGTTTGTTCATTTGTTTCCCTCCATTGGATTATTTCTGGAGCAGTAGCTAATGTTGTTTGATATATTTGATTTTTTTCTAAGGTAGCTATATTTCAACATTTGTTTTTCGGAGCTGAGCAGGAAGATACAGAGAGGATGTTTGATGAGAAGTGTTAGAGTGTCATGAAATATTTCTGCAATAATGATTTTTTAAAATATGCTGTATAAAACCTTGGTGTTGGGCAGGGAACAAAAGGATATCAGCACCGCAAAATTTGCTGAACAGTGATAAATAACTGAAATGGATTATCTCTAGTTCTTATGCTCATGGTACTGCTTTAAGAAAATAAAAAGTGTAGGGGAATGAATGCTTTAGGTTTATTGTTTGTGAAATTTCTATAACTCTGTTCTACCTGTCTCTATATCTTTACATATAACGGAGAGGAAAATCTGAACAAATAATTTTGGATCAATCTCTTAATCGTCTAAAGTGAAAATCAACTATATTCAGAAAACTCAATGATGACCATTCTATTTCTTATAAAAAAAATTTAACTTGTTATTTTAAACAAAAAACATAAGAAATATACTTACTTACAAGTAAGACATTTCTCCCAATAAAATGATTTATATAAATACATAAATATTCCCTCTCCACCCTCAAGAAAAAAGCTGTATTAAAGTTCATGTGTATCATTAGTAACAACTTACTGTCATGAAAATATAATGCAAGTTAATAGGTGGAAAGTTTACAGGTAGATAAGACTCTTGCAAATCTTCAAGTAGAAATAAAATGATTTCACTGTTAGCAAAGCAAATAGAAGCACCATTAAAGCATACTAATAAAAGAGAAGAAAAAAGAGTAAATGTTGCAAAAATGTATTTCTTATTTAGGTTAGTGCTTAGTTTATAAAAAGTTGAAGCATGCAGTTTCATAAGTCACACATAAATAAATAAGGCTTTGTGATCTAAGTGACCAAAGTGTCGTTTCTTCCTTTTTAAAAACATTAATATATTTAAGTCCTCCTGAGTTAAATGGATAGCAATTTCCTTTATACAGAATGTTCAGGGTGAAAATTTTTATTTCAAGATATAAAATTAGCAATGCATTGGACACTCAACAATTTTAGCATTATTAATACTGGCTTATTTTAAAGGCTTTGAGTGTGATTAGTGGTACTTTATCACGCCACTCTAAGAAAGCATCTACCATCTCGATTCGTTTCTTCTTTCAATTTATTCAAGGGGAACAATAGCATACTTAACTTTAGGATCACAGCTTCATGTTTATTTAATGCCAGAGCTCTCAATTACTTTAGAGACATTGTCTCCATCCTGTCTATATCTTGGCAGGATTGGGAGGAAATAATCATTGGTCTCTTTTCTGTCTCAGGCTTGAAAGACAATTATTGAAATAAGGCATAAATATCTCTACTCATGGTCTTGAGCTGGCTGGACTGTTTCTTACCTTCCTAGACTTATACCAGAGGTTCTCAGAGTGCCTTTTCACTTACCATTTTTAGTGTACAGAGTAGGAAAGATTGATTCATTGATATGGTTTCAGATTTCACATTGCACCTAGCCTTTAAGTTGAAACTACTACTTGTAGAGTTTGGGGTAGTCTCAAAAAAAAGAATAACACAATTTCATGGAAAGGCTATTAAAATAATCTTCCCATGTCCAATTACATATCTGTATGAGGCTGGTTTTTCTTCATATGCTTTAACCAAGACAACAAATTGCAACAGATTGAATGCAGAAGCAGATATGAGAATCCAGCTGCCTTCTATTAAGCCAGACATCGAAGATATTTGGAAAAAAAAAAAAGACAACAATGTCATTCTTCCTGCTATTTTTTTGTTTGTTTTGTAAAATTCAGTTGTGTTTCATAAAAATGTTATTTAATTAACATATAATGGGTTGTTTAAATTTCTGTTTTAATATCTAATACAGACATATCAATAGGTATAACCTACATAAATAAAAGCTCCTTCAATCCTAATTTTTAAGTGTGTAAAAGGGTTTTGAGGTTAAATATTTGAGAACTGTTGGTACAAAGGTACAGAATGGAGTTAAAGCCTGGCTTTGCAGGCTGTGATCCTGAGGTGCCAAATAATGAAAGATTCTGGTGTCATTAAGGGGTGACTTAGTCAAGACTTATTGGATAATTCAAGCAAAGCTCTTAGCACCACTTCTAGAACAAAGTAAGTAAACAATAAATGTTATTGTTGTTCTTATATTATAGGCTCACAAATGCTAGCTATCATTATTTTATTGGTGGTAGTAGTATTATAACACCTCTGCAGCTAATTAGTGATATACATGGTGACTTCTTGATTCTTTACAACTGTATGGGGTTATACTCAATACCTCTTCAACTCCTTTCAAGAAGTAACCCTAAATTTTCTCATGTGACTATATCATCATTTTATGAGACGATATCCATCTGCCAGAGCATTTAGGATTGCAAAACGAAGTGTGTAAGGTAGAGAAATGACAGGTTTACTAAGAATGAGTTTCTTCCTGTAAGAAAGGGAAAGGAGAAAATGGTCATACCTATTAAATTTCCCTAAATAAATGTAATCCTTAAAAAAAAACTTGCCTCTTCGGCAAGGATTGATGTAGAGTTTAAAGGTCCTAGAATTTCCTAAAATGTCTAGGAGAAAGGCTATGACAACCTATGGTTCTACAAATACTTTAATGTGATTAAAAGAATAAGCAAGTTAACCCACTTTAGTCACAGTTCTAGTTAACCAGGAGAGAGGAAAGAGACTGAGTCAAAGGAAGGTAGGGGAAAGCAGCTGAAATATGATTCAAACACAAAACATTTTTGCAAAATCATTTTTTGAAGTAAATCAAACCGCACAAAAATGAGGTTACCTAATTTTTCAGGACAATACACAGGAGAAGTGACTATTTTTATTGGACTGTATGATGCTTCTCGAGCCGTTTTTACATATCTAGTCTCATATAATCAATGGGAAATAGGAGATTGCTAAATTGGAAGTTATTCACACGTATTTTCTGAATAGACAAGGTGGGGGAGAGATGCAATCGAGGAAATTGGAACTATAATGGA